AAGGTGGAACTGTTTTTTTAGGTGCAGTGATACTTTCGGGGAGGTATACATCCCAGCGGCAGAATCACCATATTTGATTGCACATCTTGTTGTACCCCAACTGAAACCTAAGGGCATGGGTTACAGGTCAAATTGTTTCTCAACAAGGACCCAGGAATTTCATGGAAGTTGGTACCCCCCAATGGTAACCTCCTCTCATAGGGGTGAAGAGAACCCCCCTATAAACTTCCATGAAACATGTGGGTTTATCTGAAAATATCGTACCCCTAATTTCATTGCTTCATCACCCAGCCCCATGTGGCTCCCGAAAAAAACACACCGACCACAAAACGACCAGCCTATGACGTCTATCCAGTCCCCTGGCTGTTTGCCTGGCCCGGCAAGATGCCAGAAAGAAGTGATGTGTTCAATGAAGCCGGTGGCATGTTCATGTTCAATGAAATTGTACATGTTCCGGTCAGAGGTTTCTAAGGCCAGATGTTTGCTTCACTTTGTGCACAACCCTAGTTTGCAAGCCCCACCATGTGAAGGCAAAGCCTTCAAGGAAGTGTTCACATGGAAAAAATCCAGAAACATTTGAAAGACAAATGCCAAGACCCCTGAGAAACGTCACAACCATTGAAGTCTGCCAGGTGGGCTATCCAAGAACAAGCCCATCTTTCCGCCTCAGTTTCACATCTTTCAAGTACCCTACAACTAAAACTAGGGCAAGCCTCAAAGTGATGGCTGTTCCGGATGCTTAACCGCATGACGCACGACTTGATGTATATATATATATACACATACATACATTATATATATATAATTGCATATACCATAAACAAATATGTACAATTCAATGTATATATATATACATACATATGTACAAACAAATGCATATATATATATATACATACATATACATATACATATACATATACATATACATATACATATACATATACATATACATATACATATACATATACATATGTACAAACAAATGCATATATATATATACATATACATATGTACATGTACAAATAAATATGTATATATATATATATTAGTATACATGTACATACATTTACATGTATACAGACATGACATATCTAATACATGACTTTGTCGCTTTCTCCAAGGCCGGCGCCGTCCTCCCAGTGAGTTTCCTTGCCGTCCGGCATCGTGACCTTCCCCGGCTTGTAGATCTTGATCTTGGTGACATGGTGCCCCATGGTGATGGGGATTCCACCTTCATGGTGATGGGATTTAGAATTGATTTATGGTATCTAAGATGTGTGGTGTATCTAAGTTATCTAAGTTGGTGTGGAACTCCAATAACATTCAATAACTTGGTTAAAAATGATGTTTTTATGGCAAATATATCTACAGTTAATGGGCTTATAAGCAACAAACATAACTCGGGGGCACCGCATTGCAGCTAGAGATCATGGAAAGATTGGGATAGATTCGGTGGATAGGTTGTGGAAACGGTCATCAGCCAACAATCATAGTGAGATGAAGAAAACAGCCAGCTGAATTTCAACAAAAACGCAGATCTTCATTAAAAAAAGCCCAGCTTTCTGGCCGACCATCTTGGCACCGGTCGGTTATAACTCTCCGTGTCTTTTCAGGCGGTTGGACAAACTAAGCGCGGCACCACTAAATCTACGTAGCCTGGCTGCTCGTTGCCGGTCACGGGAGTATACCTCGGACGCCGAAAATTCAGTGAGATATAAAGCAGATATGAATTAAATTCGAATATGAATTAATATCTGATATCAAGCTGTACATAATATTCATTATGAATTAATGATACTAATAATGAATCAATATGATATTAGATTATCATCTCCAAAAGCTGCATCAAGCTGCCTCCAAACTCGAACAGTTTCTGTGCTGAAACATGTCTATATGAAACCAATGGCTTTACAAACGTCGAATTTCGACCAATTCATCGATTGTTGAAACCATTCCATGTGGGAACAGGTCAGAATTGGGGTACCAATGATTTTATCAAAACATTAAACATTTCAGTAACCATTATTGAATCTAACTATATAAGTGTTATCAAATACTATTGAATGTTGAATAAAATGAAGTAAATACTGAACCAACCATTTTCTTACAACTATTGATCATCATTGAAACATCATCCCCTTCCCTCATTCCCTATTAAGCAATCTCGGCAAGGCGCTTTCGCTCGATCTCCTCTTTGCCCTTGTCAGGGTCCGGCCTCGGCCGCAGCTGAGCAGGGGAACAGCTAATATCTTTATATAATAAATAATAAATAATAATATTGTTATTAATTAGATTCTTAGATTAAAATCTAGTATCATCTAATATGTTGTGATTACTAGTATCATGTACAAATAGAAATATCGTTTAAAAAGTATATAGATACATAGACGATATCCAGATCTATTAACCAATCTAACTTTGACGTATCCCACTGCAGAGATCCCCCCAACGCCGCTATGCCGCCATGACTTCCACAGCCGAGGGCACGGCTTGCCATTCCACAGGCCCGATGATATGCACTTGGCAGGATTCGGCGCGTAAATGGCCAGATGTTTGCCCACTGGGAGGCCTGGCACTGCCACGGGTGTGAAGCCCGTGAGGTATTCGGATGGCAGAGATTTTTCTGCACCAAGATGCTTCCTGTCCCAGAACTATGTTGACTCAGCTCCATCTTTATCATCCTTTACCATCCTTTACCTATCCAGCTTCGGTTGCCAAGCTGCCTAAGGTGGTTGTGGGTGAGCCCAAGGATAATCTAATCCGCTTCGTGTCATGCGAGAGCTCGTAGACATCAGCCACCTGTCAACGCCACATCTGGCATCTCACTTGAAATGATTATTTCTCAAAATCGGGGCAGTGTTTTCACCATCTACAACCATTGACTTCCCACTGAAAAATCACGAATAAGTTGGATGATAAGTCGGTTATACCTATATTATATATATATATATGTGTGTGTGTGATGTATAATATTGTATATATAATTATATACATCATATATATATATTTATATGTATATACCATACATATATACCTATATCCCATACCATATAGGATTTTTCCAACCATAACATGTTCGAGCCGCACCTGTGCTCGCTTTCGCTCGCGAGTCAAGAAGACTTTGGGCGGCCTAAAACGGGCGGGCGGTGATCGCACGGTACTTGTGGCATCGGAAGATCCAAGGAAGCAGAATAGTCGATGAAGATATTGTATAAATATTATGAATGTAGATATAATATACATAGATATATATATATATAATATATATATATATACATATATGTAGATGATGTAGATGTTATTGTGTAAGAATTTATACATCATCCCACAACATCCCACATCACTGGAGTCAGTACTAATGCCTGGGCCAGAAGTAGAGTAGCAATGAAACGCCCACAGCGAAACCCGCAATGGGCAGTATCAACTTCATGGCATCGTTGCCATCCATGGCTCCCACCACCGAAAAATGCCCCGACGAACTACGCTGTGAAGGCGAAAATGGCTGGGAAATGGACAATGGCAGGGAGTTGACGACATTGTTTTTTTTTAATGATGGCATTATTAGAATTCTCTTACTTATTATGGATATTATTTTGCTATTCAACATATTGCTCCATGCATGTGTATTATATGAAACATTAACCAACAGATAGGCCATTCTTTGACATTCTCTAAATTCTCTGGCTTATTTTTCAAGCACCATGGGACCTGTACGTCAGATCTGCCACGTTGTAAAACTTTTTCACTCAGACAGCTGCCGCCGGAAATCTTCAGTTCACTTCTCCATGATGTCTTTCCTTGGTATGTTTTTTGAATGTGGTGAAAAAAAACAATGCCACAAACCTCCAATTTTGGATACTTGATACAACCCATCAAAAATGGTGATAAATGTGAGAACTTGGGGATGGTTGATGTTTATGGCATTGGGGAAGCACCACATTAGCTGAAAGGCACCCGTGTTTCGTCAGTTTTTCTTCGTGTTTTCTCAGGGAGTCATTTTCCACATCCAATGACCCGGTGGGCACAAAAAAAACCAAATCCAAGTTGGAACTGCTTCAACCTCCACAAAAAAAAACACATTTTTGTTCCAGAAAAACTGAAACCAGATGTTTTTTGCCAGGTGGCACATTGCGAAGCCAACCTTAGCTATGCCGGCGATGCCACGGACGGACGTCAGGGAAAACATGTGCCGTCAAGGCACGGAGATATTCCCGTTGCTCCTGGATGTGCCCGAAACATGCTGCAGGGTGACTCTATCCGCATGGTAAGGATGTAAAAGTTGTTGCCTCCATTGGGAAATATTCCAGCCTTGAGAATTAACTATTTGGAATTCACATGAATTTACAAGCCTAAATGCAATTCTGACATCATACCGTACATCCCAAAGCATGGCATCATACGTCACATCTAAACACTATCAGTCGTCCTTATCCAACGCCATAGCATCGATGAAATCGCAGAGTTCTGCGTTGACGCCCACCTGATCCATTGGTCCCACGCAAGGTTCAGCGGCTCATCAGTTTCCCCGTTCAATGAGCATCCTTTACTCTCCGCCTCAAGTAGTTTAATCATGTTTAATCTGGAAAATACTTCAGAAATTCCATTCAATGATGTTTCTTTTTCACCATGGTCATGGGGGATAAACACCCATTTATAATTTATAGACTAGACATTTGCAGAGATGATAGAACCCTGTGTATACAAGGTGAACCCCACCAATTATAAGTTGCTTTGTGACCCCAATGAAAACTATATAGTTCTCTGTAGCTACATCTGTCATAAACCTTGGTTCTTGGAGGAATCAACTCCAACCTCTGCTAGTAGTTCGTCGAAGCTTCCCTGCAACTTTTCATCGATGTCCTCAAATTCTGGACCTGGTGCGCACTGGACATCCGAGAAACATCTGGAAGATGGGTCAAAATCATGAAGCATCTATATGATATGATTTACATGTGTATATTGTTTTATACTCCTTTATGATAATTATATAAAATATATATATGTATATATATATATATGTATATATGTATATATGTATATATATATGTATATATATATATATGTATATATATATATATATGTATATATATGTATATATGTATATATATATATATATGTATATATATTGTGAATTGACTTCACACTGGCAGCTGATGTTCCCCCGCGACCTCGCACCTTCTGTCTTTTCCAAGCAGCCAGTGGAAGTCTCGCAACGGAATGCCAAAATGGCAATGGAGGCAAAAGAGCCAGGCAAAACGGAATTGCAACGTGTTGGCCTCAACACAACGTAGCGACCGACCACGGTCGATATGGCTTCCAAGATGCTTAACCCTCACCTCCCGCCGTCTGGCGAACCAAGCCAAAAGCAACTGTCATGGATGCAGGTTTGGAACACTGACCGGTCTGGAATCCAGGGAAACATGCTATGGAAATGCAAATGGACAATGACTGGGATCATTGGTACTTTCACACTCCCAACAAAAGTTTTACTTTCAATCTTTTGTAGTTTCTGTAGATTCTTCGGTGGCCTTCATCCATTTGACTCTCGTCTTTGTTGATGCCCTCTCCTTCAGGATCTGCGTTTCATCGTACAAGCAGTACTTGCCTTGAGACAAGGTTTGTCTGAGAAAATGACACTCCATGATCTTTGTGAGAGCATCAGCAACTTGGGCTCCACTGTGAACCCACCTGAGTCGGACTCCCTCAGCTAAAAAGTCCTTTAAGGCATGTGCTTGGAGTTGCGTTCTGAACTCTTGGCAGGAAGGCGTGGCTGTGTAACCAAATCGTAAAGTGATTTGCAGTCAGTTACAGCAATTGATGGATCTTGTTTGAAAGTTGCAGTTGCATATGTTGGTGGAAGTTCTTTGAGAGTCTTGTTTGCTTGACGCCAGTCTGTCTTTGGGTCTTTGATCCAACTCCAAAAAAGCCGTAACCATGATAGCTGGTCCAAGGTCGTGCTCAGGGACGTCGTCTCTGCTGACAAAGTGCTTGTGACAACACGCTGAATCTTTTTGCACCCCCAGCTGATGGGGTTCACTGGGCACACATGGTTTTTCCCAATATCCTCATGCGTAGTCGTGATTATGGTTCCTGTATGTGATTCTGGTTGTTTCTTTGAAGCGAATGAGGCATCTGAGAATGCAAGAAACCTGATTTTGTCCATGGGAATTGGTTGGATTCGAATGCACGTGGTCTTGTATCGTTTTGCTTCATGGAGTATTCTATTCCCTTGAATGAGTGTGTCAATTGTGGCTTGGTTAATTGCACTCTGCAGGAAACTCAGTCGGCTCGCAAGGTCTGGGCGTGTGTTGACTGATGCGTATTGTAATGAACCGATAAGGGCCCGCAAGTCCTGTCTTTCTCTTTCTGTGACCGCAAGTTCCAAATTGGCTTTTCTCTGAGGTTGAATGTGTATTGGGTTGATTTTTGTAACATAATTTTCTTGGGACATCGTTATACTGTAGTCGTTATGTTGAGTCACTTCAATTCCAGTGAAAACAAAGTTTTGGGATTTTCGGAAGCCAAAAGGAAATGTTCTTTCTAGTTTCTGGATTTGCTCTTGGAAGTAGTCATTACCCCCACATAGGCCGTCATCTACATGAACTCCCAAGATGCCGGCAAGTTCCTTGGTCTTCGGTTCATGAAGGACATACAGGCAAGGATCAAAGGGAGATGAGATAAATCCTAATTCCTTGAGGGTTTTATCCAGTTCAGTAAACCAAAGAAACGGTGCATCTATGAGACCGTACGCTGATTTAACCAGTCTGCACACTTCATTTGGCTTCAGACCCATGGCTTTTGTCATTTCTGGCACAGGCTCTATGGCTATCACTCGATCCTCCTGGGTTTTTCCTTGTAGGAAGGCAGCCTTTATGTCAAAGGACATGAGGGACCATCGCATCGAGGTGAGGACTTGAGCAATAAGCATTTTGGATGTTCTCCCCAGTGTCGGACTGTCTCTGGGAATGGTATCCAGTTGAGGGTCCATGTAGCCAAGCACCACTAATCTTGCTTTTGCTTTTCTGGATTTACCTCCGAGTGCCTTTTGTTCTTTGGGATCTTCGATGGGCTTCCAGACATACAACCATCTACATCTCAGGATTTGTTCAGGGGATAGCTCATGTCGGAACATCTTGGCAACCGTCCCAGTCTGAAGCCAATTTTTGACTTTTTTGGTTTTGGCTTCTTCGAACTCCAGTCGTTCATTTGGATCTAGTGTGCTCAACTTGACTTCTGTCCTGGCACGTTTACCAGTGGTAGTGAGGTGCACAAGTTCTTCTTCTGCTGGTTGTTGGGCATGCTGACACACTTGTTCCAATTGGTTTCGACTGAATTCAAGTTCGGCACGCCAGACGATGTCTTCCCCATTCGGAGAGTGGTCGATCAAGTTGTCATCGTCACTGCAAACAAGCAAATCGCATAACAGCTCATCTTCGGCAACATCCGGAACAGGAATTTCATGTGGTTGAAGCTCAGGATTGATTGTTTGATTATGGGGTACATCTTGTGTAGGACTGTTATCTTCAGGATTATTTGGGGTTGATGGAATCCCTTCAGGTTCTTGATCTGGCTGTTCGGATGCACTGTGGCTTGTTGGTAATGGTTCATTGTCTTCTGGAATGTTACTTGTTGCTCTTGTAGTGGGACCATTGTTGGCTGTTGAGTTTTCTGATGGAAGCTCATTATTGATTCTTTGGTTTGGTGTCGGTGTCTGCTCAATCTGTGGAATGGTTGGCATTTCTATGGGTATAAGCCTGGCCTCGACTGCACTCACTGGACGGATGTGCTCGGGAGCTGCTCTGATGATGGTGCCAGCATTGTTGCAGAACACAGTGGAAGCATTATCCTGCTTGATTACCCGGGCTGGTCCTGTCCATGAACCCTTGAAGTTATGGATTTTCAATACCATTACCCACTCTCCAGCTTCATATGCTCCTCTGTGTGGTCGGTCTCTGCGTAATGCTGCCCTCCGCAATGCCATATCATTGCCGGCAGCATGAAATGCTCGCCTTGCCGTTTCTCGCATGGCCAGCAATTCACGGAACCGGACTCCTGCTGAGTCTTCACTGTCGGCGACAGCATGGGCAGGCAGGGAGTCATCGCTTATTATGGATGCTGGGATCTTCAGACCTTTTCCAAACACTAGGGTGTCAGGTGCATATCCATGCCTTAGACTACAGGAGTTCTTTGCCATGGTACATTGAGTCAACGCTTGTTGTAGTTGGGGGTAATTGCTGACATCATGTTCTAGTTCAAACTTTGACAACATTGACTGTAGAACCCCTCCATGTCTTTCGATCCTGCCACATTGCCAGTGTGCGTCGGGTGGAACCACCTCACACTGCACGCATAAGTTTTGGAGAAATTGGGTGAAGGCTTCTGAGACAAATTCTCTCGCAGAATCCATCAACACGGTGTTTGGTGGTCCTGCCCAGTTCAGCCATCCCACTGTAAACCTTTCTTGGACTTCAGCACGGTTGGGGGCTATGATGGCTGTGTGATAATTTGTCCCATGATCTAAGAAGTGATAAAAGTGGAATTCTTGCCCTTGTTTATTTATCCACTTAACCCCATCTATAGATACCTTATCAAATCCCAACTCTTGCTTGAGTGCGGCTGGTCTTGGAATCTTCGGTCGTTGCAACATTTGGCAAACTGAGCACTTCAAGTCCATGACCCCTTGCACTAGAGACTTGTCATATCCACGTTGCTGAAGAACTTGACTCAGTTTTCGAGGATCAGGATGGCCAAGGTTCTTGTGTAGTCTGAGTGCTAACTTCCTCATTTCTGGTGACATGGAAAGAAAATTCGGCCCATGGTCCTGACTTAGTTCATCAATCTTTTCTGGTGATCTTGTTTCTTGAGGGGATTCTGGACTTGGCATAGGCAGCTCTGGTGCATGGCGAGTCTCATCCGGAAACTCATTGGATTAGTCTGCTCTTGCTGGCTCCTGAATTTCGATCTGAGACTCTGCTGGACTGGCTGACGCGCTTGGAGTCGGCATGTTTTGATGCGACGGAAAGTGATCTCGAGCAAAAGCTGTTATATTCAAGTAGCTTGGGTGAGACCGACGCCATTGTTGTCTGGCTGACAAAAACTCCCAGTGCTCCCATTGATCTTCTACCATTATTTTCTTGGTGTTCCGCTGGATAATGATGGCTCTTCGGTATGGGGCTTCACTCGGAATCATGTCTTTTGGTGGTTGCGTGGTTCTTTCGGTGCCCTTGCATACAACAACTTTGACAATCAACTTTTCTGGAAAAAGTTCCTGGATTGCGTCAACTATCTTGGTATCCTCGATTGTTTTTCGTCCTACTTTTGGAGCAATCGCAGTAACTTGACTACATATGCTTTCACACAGTGATTGGTTGGACATGGAATCCTGTGATTTTTCATGGATTCTCCGTCTTTTGGCAGGCATTTCCTGAGGCTCGATCAGGCTACTGTTCTGCAGCTTGGCTCGCTTTGCACGCATGTTTGGATCAGCATTGGTTGATCGCTTGATTCCTTGCAGGGCCAATGCCGTATCATCACAGCATATCACAGGAAGCTCTTTCATGTTTTTCACCTTCGTCAGTACCTGTGCAATGCTACGTGCAAACTTTCGAGTGTAGTTTTCTGAAAATGCGGTTCTCTGAACTCGTTCTCCCCTGTATATCGTGGATCCCTCAAGTGTTTGATGTTCGTGTTGATGATTGCATTTACGACCATTGAAGTGAAAGTACAATTGCTGAGAAGTGGTGTTGATTTGCATCCCTTTCTTGATGAGTTTTTGATTTTGTGGATCTTTGAGTTCACCAACTTTACACATGTCAAACTGTGCTGCATACGTGCCTTGAGAAACTTCATACAGGTACGGCATCTTGAGCATCAAGGATCGAGCTGGTTGCTCCCAATGCAAATGACGCTGATGAATGCACTGGAATCTGTACAACACCAATCCTAAGGCCAACTGAAACAGGTGCTTGTCTCTCTGCTCTTGGACGTGTTGAAATCCAGCGGCACTTTGGGACTCATTGAACACACTCCAGGCACACCATGGACCACATGTGGGACTGAACCAAATATGCTGGGGTCGTTCTTCAAGGGCAGTCTGAAACAATCTTCTACGGCCTTCAGTGAGAGACAAATCCCCCTCTTGAATCCCATGTCGGCTGGCTCGATATCCTAGCTTGTTGACTTGTCGTGTCAGCTCACTGGTGGAGCTGCAGAAGACTTCAAGCACTTGCAGTTTCGGCCGCTGTCGGAGACCTTCCCATTTGGACACTTCCTGCAGTTCTTTGGTGAACTGATTCACCAACTCATGGAACTTCTTGTGACGAGAATTCATGTTATGAGTTTGATTGTAATCAACATCAAAATCTTTACTCCAGTCTCCGGCATTTAGGATGCGATCTACGGGGCTGTCTGGTTGGCATGGCGCACATGGTTCAGGATCTCTCCCATCACATTCTCCATGTTGAGGACCCGGCTTTGCAGAGGATCGATCATCTCTTGTTGTGGGCTGTGCATGATGGCCGCTTGAGTCTGAAGGTCCATGACATCCCATGGATCGTCCATCTCTGTCATGATCTCGGTTGTGGCAGTCATCATCATTGGGGCCGGTGCGGCCTTGCTCTTGGGCTGGGTCTTTGGATGTGGGCGGATCACTTCTTGAGCATTTTCTTGGAGAGGTGCCATTTCGTAGATCTCCTCGTGCTGTGCTATCATGGCCTCCACATAGGCCAGCATCTTTCGATGTTCGTCCTTCTGGCTGTCTCCGTACGTCTTTGAGAACCAGCGAATCCACCCTTTCTCGGTTTGCCACATCTCGGCATAGGTTTTCCCGATGTGGGATTTCCCAAACGTCACTTTGTGCCCACCCATCTCTTCGAGGCTCAGTTGGCGGAAGGTTTCCACACTGTCCGTGCTGCCCTGAGCCAACACTCGATCTAAGCGGCTGGACAGGTTCGTGGCCATGTTCCTGAGTGGATCGAACAAGCTGGATGAACTTGGGCTGCAACAGTTTGGGCCGGGGTGTCTCGGCATTCACTTTGGGCACATCACTGATGGTACTGCGACATGTTTGATGGACAGTGGCATGTTGGCTGGGTTTTGCAGGGGCACTGAAATTAAAAGGTGGCTTTGTTACAGGCATGTTGGTATGAATTGAATTGGAATCATGATTGTCCATGTTTCGCATGTTGATATTGGCATCACTGGTGGCATCTTGGGAAGCGGAAACTTCTGAGCTGACTTCTGGTTTTGGACTCACGGAAAAATCACTGCTCAAAAAGGTTTCGGCTGGCAAACGATCACTGACACTGGCATGTCCTCTCTGTGCGGCAATCATGTCGTTGAGATCCAACATGTACAACCCTCTTGAACTGAGTTTCAACGGCACGGCTGTCTTCAGGAGAGGGCTGGTCAGGACCTGTCGATTGCTATCTATGCTTGCCTTGAGAGTTCTCACTAACGTATTGGAAAGCAACAGCGGTGTTTCACCCGGTACAATGGCAACCTTGAGTCCAAGTCCAATGGATTTTAAGGGGATAACCAATGCATGTTCACTGTCCAACGTTCCTTGGTTTCCAAAACGAAAAGTGATTTCACATTTGGTGCGGCTCAACTGCCGTTGAACCTCTTTTGGAAAGCTCTCAATCAGGGCAGGCAGGTGCTTGCTTCCAATCACGGACTTCGTGGCACCTGTATCTAAGATGCCATGAGTGCCGTGCGTTGTGAAAAATGCCACCTCATCAATGGTTGCATCACAATTCGGCTGCAGCAACAATGGCTTGGAGTGACTTGCATCAGTCCTGGGCAACGGATGCTTTGGTCTGCTGGATTTATGGACTATTACCCCATTAGCCCTTTTACGGATACGTTCCCGAATTTCATGGGGAACAGCTTGAACAACGTTAATTACTTGCAAACTTGGCACATCTAGTGAAGTCTCATGAACCACAGGCAGTTGGATAAACTCCATTGGCATAGCGTAGGGCTCACCATCGAGGGACACTGCTTCGGCTGTCATTGCGGCTGACGTGCTTGGTGTTCCACTGGAGGATGCATTGCGCTGCCGGTCAGGGCATTCGGCTCTCCAATGACCTCGTTTTCCACAATTCCTGCATGTACTTTCCATGATTCCTTGTTGAAGACTTTTGCGAGGACCACGACCAAATGATCGACCCTTGCCTTTGCTGGATCCGGCAAATTTGGATTTTCCCTTGCCACTTCCAATTGGCCAGAATCCACGGTTTTTGAAACGGTCAGACAGTCTCTTGCGGGCCTCACTATATGAGGTATAGGCTGATGCTAAGTCTTCATCGGATTGCAGCGTGTCAGCTGCAGCAGATTCATAATCAGCAATCAGTACTGCGTCTTCATCCTCATCATGCAACAATTGTTCAAAGAAGTCATCTTCGCCTACGTCATCAGCTACAAATGCATGGCCTTCGGCCTCTTCTCCAGCTACATCCTCACTCAGGTTGACATGCTGATCATATATCTTTCCTTTGGCCTTCTTGGCTCCGATCATTTCATTGAAAAACGAAGTTCCTAACATCCTTACTGCTTGACTCACCTTCTCTACAGTAAGAACACCAGTGGATGCAGACTCGCTTTCAAGGATAACCCTCTTCTTGTCCTCAGTACTGAGAAGTGAACCTCGCAACATGATGTAGGCATGGACCTGGTCTAAGTCGATCTTTTTTGACTTGAGTTCGGACCACACTACATCGCACCTGGCAAGGAATGAGTCATTTGATTCGTCCTGTCGTTGAGTACATCTGAACAGGGCCTTCTCGACAATCTCATAGGTTTTTTCCAGATTCACTTTTCCCCACTGACCTCCCAAAGTGGCGATCAGGAGCTGTGTTCCGGTTTTGTCACCTGTCATCAATTTGGCACGGTTCAGCTGAAGTTTCTGGAAAGCACTACCTGACGTGTTCAGAATCAGTCTAGTGATTAACTCATCCATCTTGTTGGAAGGCCAGATTTCACTGAGGAGCTCAACTTTCTGGGTGTACTGTTCTAGGTCATCTTTAGACGGATCGAAGCTGGGCACAAGCATTGCCATCTGTGTCGAGGTTGCAGTGTTCCCCTCGGTGGATTCTCCACCATTCTGTAGCGACATTTCAACAACACCAAGATGTGTTTGCGAATCCCTGGAGCGTTGTTTTGGTAGCTCCGCTACCAGTGTGAATTGACTTCACACTGGCAGCTGATGTTCCCCCGCGACCTCGCACCTTCTGTCTTTTCCAAGCAGCCAGTGGAAGTCTCGCAATGGAATGCCAAAATGGCAATGGAGGCAAAAGAGCCAGGCAAAACGGAATTGCAACGTGTTGGCCTCAACACAACGTAGCGACCGACCACGGTCGATATGGCTTCCAAGATGCTTAACCCTCACCTCCCGCCGTCTGGCGAACCAAGCCAAAAGCAACTGTCATGGATGCAGGTTTGGAACACTGACCGGTCTGGAATCCAGGGAAACATGCTATGGAAATGCAAATGGACAATGACTGGGATCATTGGTACTTTCACAATATATGTATATATATGTATATATGTATATATATATATATGTATATGTATATATATATATATATGTATATATATATGTATATATATATATGTATATATATATATGTATATATATATATATGTATATATATATGTATATATATATATGTATATATGTCTATGTATAGAAAAGTACATATTTGTGTATGTATATATATATGTTTATATATATATATATGTTTATATATATATATGTTTATATATATATGTTTATATATATATATGTTTATATATATATATATGTTTATATATGTTTATATATTAGTTTATATATGTTTCCAGAGGGATGGGGTGGGTGAATATCCATAAAGATCTGCCATGTTGATGTGAAAACCATGTTATTCTACGGATTTTGATACGCTGCAGCATTTTCGGATGCTGATCTCTTTGGCCGATTCGTTGCCACATGGGGAAAGATCAAAACCTATTACTACAATATTTGAAGGACCCATCCAGCTATACCAACTATTTCAGGGTATTGAATTCAGGGGTGCCAGGGTGCCAGGGCTTTGACTCATAGCCAAAAAATGCAAGCAGGTCACCATTGTAAGAGCTCACACTTTCTTTCTCCTGGCAACCATCACAGCCATGTCAGTCTCTCTCAAACTATCTCAAAAAAAAACATCAAAACATTGCACTCCAACAAAACAACAGCTTCAAGATGCTTCAACGATAATATCCTTTCCATCCACACATGGAACTGGCGAATGAAACATGTTTTGAACCATATGGAAACATATGGAAACATATATCTGGCTCACATGAATAGTTCGGCCATAAAATATATTTATTTATTTACTTATTTATCCCATTAATATCCCATTATATCCCTTTTAACTAATGATACATACCCGCCTCAACGGTGGCAAAGGATTTCACGTTGCCGATCACCTCGGGCTGACGTCCCAAAGCTGGGCTTCCCTTGGAATTTTTCCACGGGTTTTTTGCCCTGGGAAAAACTGGAAAAACACAATCATTCGAAAAGAAAACTGCCCTGAAGCTGCAAAATCGACTTGAAGGGAAACAAAGAAACTTATGGGACATCAAGAAGTCAGAAAGACTCCTGGTCCAATGGTGGAAAGGAACGAACTTAGGACCTGAGCTGTCCTCACATATCGGTGGTCCTCACCAGTCTGTGTGCTGCAATAGAAGGACACACCAGCACCACCTCAGTGGGGGTGACTTCGTAACAGGGTCATTTCAACCAGCTACCACTGATTTTTTCCCAAAAATTAACAGAATATAGATTTATATATATATATATATATATGTATGTATGTATATATATATACATGTATATATATATATATGTATAGATAGATAGATATTTACATAGATGTAGATGAGTAGATGAAAAGAATGAAAAGAATGAAAAGAATGAAAAGAATGAAAAGAATGAAAAGAATGAAAAGAAATTGGAAAGAATGGAAAGAATGAAAAGAATGAAAAGAATGAAAATGAAAATAATGAAAAGAATGAAACAAATGAAAAGAATGAAAAGAATGAAAAGAAATTGGAAAGAATGGAAAGAATGAAAAGCATGAAAAGAATGAAAAGAAGGGGCGGAATTGGGCAGAAGAATGTTGAATGTGAATGTTGAATGTTATTTTGGAATGGAGAATGCTTGGTCAGTGGGATCATCCCGAACCAGTCATAGTGTGTCGCAGTCGAGGTACTCTTGCTTTCAAGGGTGATGCAGAAGTCGGTGGCTTCCTGACAAAACATGTACAAAATGATCAAGTTCGAATCTGTTTCGCATGAAAAAACTTCAATCTCACGAGGCTAGAATCAAGATTTTTGAAGAGACTCATGGCATGCTTGGGTGCAGACGTATTCCTCACCACCCTCTTGATCACCCTCCACATCAGCAGTAGGGTCAAAAGGGCTGGTCAGTTGCCATTCAACTTTCACCTCATTTGAAACAGCACAAAAGGGACAACATCAATCTCCAAAAAACGTGCATTTCAATCAAAACACGTGACTAGTCTTGCATCAAAACCTTCAGGAAAACCCAACTGAGAGGTCCGCCAACTTGTCTCCCACTTCCCGTTCCAAATGCATGTTCACATCGCCCTGCACATTTGTATACGCTCAACTGCAGTCCAACACACTACCATTTGTATCATTTTTTCGGCTCAAAATTCCGTTCATTGTCAGCACGAAGTCTGCGAAACCCTGCGGCCTCTGTCTCAACAAACTTGAAGTTGGAGGAATCCAGGAACTTCTTGATCTCCTGGGCCACGTGAGAGCTGATTTATGATTTTAAATAACGTATGATGTATATATGTACTGTATGTACATATATAGTGATAATCATAATATGATGTACATATATATATATATATAATATCCATACATCATCATACAAGGTTTCTAGGTATATAATAGACATAAAATAAACGTATGATAGACATATGATCAATGAGAGACTCTGATAGAAAGCTCATCGAGAACGACTCACTCTGCGCCCTCGCCCACTTGCACCTTGGCCTGCTGATACTGCTCCTGAAGTCATGAGATTCCCAGGGGGTTGCTGGCTCCAAAGACCAGCTGCAGAATGTGTATATATATATACACAGTATATATACATATATGATGATCTATTGATGCTTCGCAATATATCTATTTGTTCCAATAGACCAACGTGTGTCTACAATATATCTATTTCATCATGTTGTATCAAAATCAGAGAATCATGCAAAATACCTCTCTTAGTTTCTATATCTACCCTCTGGTGATCAAAAACAACTAGCTGAGCTCAAAAACCCCGAACTAAATGGGGTCAATTGAACATCATCGAACATGGAGGATTTTCATGGATTTTCCAGCTAGCCATGTGACTGATTAGAAACTTGGAAAGCAGTCCTCCTCGTGCCCAATCTCTGCTTGAAGATCTTTGGCCTGATTCAACTTAGTGGGAGTGGGTTTCCATGGGTAAACCCAATGGTTTCCTAAAATATGGGTACCCCCAAACCATTGGTTTTCCATGCTTTTCCCCTTGGCTTTTCACCAATTTTGTATGATTTGGGGGATCCTGAGACTGCGACCACTTTGGCTGCGGAAGACAGCGAGAAGCACCTTCTGAAAGCAGATCCAAATAGGTCCAGGGTCAGGGTCAGCAAAGCTTTTTCAAATTGCTAATAGATTGATTGGAAGCCCCTCGAAGCAAAATCAGAATTTCGAACCTCTGCTGCACTGGACAAAGAAGTGGACGCAGAGCTTGTTGTTTGAAGCCTGGCACACTACAATCACTGCAGCGGAACAACCACAACCACTACGCCATCCCGGTTTCTGCAGCGTCCGGCCTGTGACCTTTGGCACCGCAGTGCCACAAGCTCTCAAAACTCTCTGCAGCATCCTTACCACACGCAAACAAAGAATAACAAAAATGCCATGCCTTGCAACCGATTGCAACCTCCATTGTTGTTCTCTGGCGTCTTCTACTCGGCAACTTGTTGATTCCCGGCTACTGGCGTTCTTACCGCACTAAAAAGCCAAGGCACACAGTTGTCTCCTGTTTGCTGGCAGCTACTCTTGAGCCAAAATTGCTAACAAAGGTGATGTTTCTTGAGGGAACTCTAGCATCCAATGATATTTGTTGCAGAAACTTCTCTTTAAAAAACTTGTATAGATGACATAAATGTGTACTACTGTATGTGAAATATTATGATGTTGAAAAAATCGGGGATGGCACTGTTGCCAGCCTTAGACATCTATGTCTGTATATAAGTATAATATATACATATTTAGATGCCATTGGTGCAAGTGAAGGATGTTGCATCATCCACACACACAGAGACGACATGGCTGGGCCGCTGCACTGCCTTTTGTTTCCGTCAAGAAACCTTCGGGAGCTTCTGGCATGCGCACCAGCTGTAGAGCTAGACCTGATTTGTGAATACTGGCGCCAGTTTTCTGAATCGCTCTGGAACATTCGGATGGTCCAAAGTACCCACTGGCAGATGCTCCCATCTGGCGAAACATTCCGAAAATGAGGTAGAGGAAGCATCCTTGTCCAACAGGGATAATACTGCACAAAAAAAGCCCTTCTGCTTGCAGCAGTGCGAAGTAAGTATGACGAGAACGACGGTAAACGAGACACGAAATCTTGAATCCTAAGTTACAAATGTTCAGGAACGAAATCGGGAATTCAAGATTAGTCAGACTGCTCTGCCATCGATATAATCAATATATACATCATAATTATTCAGAATATAGATATTTTTACATACAATATATCAAATCATGTATTGTGTAAATATTACATTATAAAATAATTATATATATAGATAACTATTTTTAGATAGACCCAGAAATAGATATCTATTCTTTTATTTACCCCAAAAAAAGTAGGACGACTTGACCCCTCAGCCATCCTCAGTGCACCCAGCCTACTCTGCCGTGGGAAGCAACGGTTGCATCTCACTCCATGAAGGATTTCCTTGGCGATCAACATCCAAAAGGCCTGGCCCTGTAAGGAAAGAATATATAGCTATATGACATATATCTATGAAACATGTATATATATATATATATATATATTCACTATTTACATATATATATATACATATATTAACATATCTGTATACAGGATGGTATATGATGATATATGATGGTATATGTCTCCAGTTCCAGGGCCTCCGATTCACTTACATGTTCGCGTTCCTCATATTTTGGCGGTTTAAAAAACCGTCGCAGTTTTTGGATACGCCAAGATAGCTATAGAATATATGTTGAGGATTGTTGAGGTGGGATATAAAATACATCCATGTAAATGAGTCAATCATTGAGTGGTTGATCACCGAAACTTTCCTGGAAGGGGGTCCGGGGCCAAGAAAGAGGGATGGAGAAAGCAGAATTTGTTCTTTGGAGGGTCAAATGTCAGACCTCAACAAATACCCTCTGGTAATTTAGCATAGCTATGGAAAATCACCATTTTCAATGGGTAAATCCACTATTTCTATGGTCATGTTCAATAGCTATGTTAAATTACCAGAGGGTAGACTTTGTAGAAGCATATGCCCAAAACTGTTAAAACATCCAACTTTGGGTACCCCAAAGTTAACGCAGTCCAAGTGAGCTTCATCAGATTCACAACAGCCCCACCAGCGGTACCATGGAATTCGGCAGCCTCCCCGTAGAGGATGGGTCAAAACCCATGGGAATTCCCCTGGTTTTCGCATCAAAATAGCTTATAAAATATGTCTGGATGTTCATCACCCTTGAAAGCCAGCATCTACTGGTTGGTGGTATACCTACCCCTCTGAAAAATATGAAAGTCAGTTGGGCTTATTATTCCATATATGATGAAAAGTCATAAAAATCATGTTCCAAACCACCAACCAGATGATTGGCCCTTGTTAAACATGATTAACCATAATTTACCATCATTAACCATCATTAACTATCATTGATCATTATTAACCATGATTTACACATCATTTGCCATAGCCACTTCTAGGTATTCCTCCCCTTCCAAGGCACACATTCTTCAGCCATCCTTGGCATCGCTGCAACACTCGAATTAAAAAACCACACTGAACACTGACCATAGCTATGATCTGAAAAAAAAAACAGACATCAGCACAAGAAAAAAATATATATATATACACTATAGTATATAAGAGATTATAATAGTATATACAGTATATGTATCTCCATTCCGGAAATTTCCTGATGTTTGACGTCCGAATTGAATCAGTTCATCCCCATCATTACTTGTCGGATTCTTAGCAACGTTTTCACGCGAGTCTCGGATGTATTCTCGCTGCTCCTGTGGGCCAAGGATGGGTCTCTAGCCGGGATCATGTGCATAGATATTGGGTGATCTTGGGCTCGTTTTCAAACAACAATCACCCAAACAATATCTAATGAATATCTTTAATATCTAATATCACAATCATACACAATCAAGATCAATCAAATATAGAACCTCTGTGTTTCCAAAACAACGTCTGTGTCTTCCAGGCGTCATCTTCTCTCCTTGTCCAATGCCATGGCGTCGATGAAATCGCACAATTCCGTATTGACACCAACCTGGCGGCCATGCACAGACAGGGAGTTCTCAGATATAAATCAGAACAAAAAATAAATGACAGTCATATATGGTTAGGTTAGATTATGTTTAAGTTAGATTTATATCTGATTTATATCTGAGAAAGTTATATGAAACTTCTTGTCAAGAAAACTGCAATTTGGCTAGATTATGATGAAAGTTTGGTTAGACGCCTCATCTCTACATGTCTACTGATTCGATTTACATCTGCAGGTGTCCCAAATCATCGTCATCAGACCGTGAGTCAGTATTGAAAGCATGGTGACTTGGGGATCCCCCATGAAGAACCCGGGCCACCTATCTTCATGGTCCAACCTCTGCCAGTACTTCATCGAAGCTTTCCTGCAGTTTTTCGTCGACATCCTCAAATTCTGGACCTCACAGATCGACGCTAAGTAGCTATGGAACATCACCAGGAACAGCAGCACAAAATGCATAGCTAAATCATACATTCATGGGCAATTGTCCATAGCTGTGTTACATTATAATTAGAGGGTAACATGATGTAACATGTTTGAATTTTCAGTGAACATAACATCACATGCTTCCACAAGTGCCCACATCCGGCCCGAAAATGATGTAAGTAGGGCACCGTTGTAAGAGCTCACACTTTCCTTCTCCTGTCAAAAACTCTCAACATGATCTCTCGATTCTCACGTGACGGGAACTCCCAACAATGGGTTCCAATCATTCCCATCAGACACACGGACTCTGAATATATATATATATAACTATATATATATGTATGTATATATATATATGTGTATGTGTATATATATATGTAGATAAATATATATGTATATATAAATATATATATATATGTATATGTATAGATATATATATATATATAATTATATATAAATATGTATATATAATTATATATATATGTATATATATGTATATATATATGTATATGTATAATTATGTATGTATGTATGTATGCATGTATGTATGTATGTATGTACGTACGTACGTATGTATGTATGCACGTATGCACGTATGCATGTATGCATGTATGCATGTGTGCATTATGCATATATGCATGTGTATATATATATATTTGTATATATTTGTAAATATATATATATATATATTATGTATAATTATTTATGTATGTATGTATGTATGTATGCATGTATGTATGTATGTATGTATGCAATGATGTATGTATGTATGTATGTACGTACGTACGTACGTATGTATGCACGTATGCACGTATGCATGTATGCATGTATGCATGTTTGCATGTGCGCATTTTGCATGTATGCATATATATATATATATTTGTATATATTTGTAAATATATATATATATATGTATAATTATTTATGTATGTATGTATTGTATTGTATTGTATTGTATTGTATTGTATTGTATGTATTGTATGTATTGTATGGTATTGTATGGTATTGTATGGTATTGTATGGTATTGTATGGTATTGTATGGTATTGTATGGTATTGTATGTAATTGTATGTAATTGTATGTAATTGTATGTAATTGTATGTATGTATGTATGTATGTATGTGTGCGTGTATGTATGTATGTATGTATGTATGTATGTATGTATGTATGTATGTATGTATGTATGTATGTATGTATGTATGTATGTATGTATGTATGTATGTATGTATGTATGTATGTATGTATGTATGTATCTATGTATCTATGTATGTATGCTGTATGTATGTATGTATGTATGTATGTATGTATGTATGTATGTATGTATGTATGTGTGTATGTGTGTATGTATGTATGTATGTATGTATGTATGTATGTATGTATGTATGTATGTATGTATGTATGTATGTATGTATGTATGTATGTATGTATGTATGTATGTATGTATGTATGTATGTATGTATGTATGTATGTATGTATGTATGTTGTATGTATGTATGTATGTATGTATGTATGTATGTATGTATGTATGTATGTATGTATGTATGTATGTATGTATGTATGTATGTATGTATGTATGTATGTATGTATGTATGTATGTATGTATGTATGTATGTATGTATGTATGTAGTATGTATGTATGTATGTATGTATGTATGTATGTATGTATGTATGTATGTATGTATGTATGTATGTATGTATGTATGTATGTATGTATGTATGTATGTATGTATGTATGTATGTATGTATGTATGTATGTATGTATGTATGTATGTATATCAATGTATGTATGTATGTATGTATGTATGTTTGTTATGTATGTGTATGTGTTGTATGGGTATGTAGTGTATGTATGTGTATGTATGTGTAGATGGATGTATATGTATGAAGTATGTATGAATGTATAGTATTGTATGTATGTATGTATGTATGTATGTATGTATGTATGTATGTATGTCAATGATGTATCATCAAATATCATCAAATATCATCAAATATCATCAAATATCATCAAATATCATCAAATATCATCAAATATCATCAAATATCAACTATAACAACCTTCAAAGAGAAACAAAAGATAAGATAGACCAGATATGAAAAGATCTGTCCAGGGAGTAGATGATGTGTCCTTCATATTTTCCAAGTTTCCAGCTTTTCTAACATGACTTTTCTATCTTTCGGGGTCACAAAAAAAGGCTCTTGTTTAGGCCAATATCCATCCACATCCATCAACCATTTCGGCCTCTGTGGTTGCAAAGGACTTCACATTTCCAATCACCTTATCCAGCGCCAAAAATGATCCCCTGGAAAACCCATGGGAAAATGGCCCATCGCCCAATGATCGCCCCTGCTGATTTTAAGATTTTTAAGTGAAATCAGACCAAATCAGTGAATCTCCACATCAATGGCTCATCCACTCAAATCCAAGGTCCGATATCGAGGTCCAAACATATCGGTGGTCCTCTCCAGTCTGTGTGCTGCAATAGAAGGACACACCAGCACCACCTGACTGTTGCTTACCGTGACTCCGAAGCGGAATCCTGTCACCGGAAACTGATTTCTCCTGATGGACTGGACATCTCGAAACTCAGATGATGTGGAGGCCCCAGACATTGCTGCAGTGAAGCAGTTGGATTTGTGGGAAAATTTAGGTGCAGGTGAGGTACTCTTGCTTTCAATGGTGATGCAGAAGTCGGTGGCTTCCTGACAGAACATGTACAAAATGATGAAGTTCGAACCTGTTTCGCATGAAAAAAACTTCAATCTCACGAGGCTAGAATCAAGATTTTTGAAGAGACTCATGGCATGCTTGGGTGCAGACGTATTCCTCACCACCCTCTTGATCACCCTCCACATCAGCAGTAGGGTCAAAAGGGCTGGTCAGTTGCCATTCAACTTTCACCTCGGCTGTGCAGTTGCAAATAGTTACTGCCTGAAAAGCATTTGAAACAGCATGAAACGGACAACATCAATCACCAAAAGCGAATTTCAATCACCAACATGAAAACAAATGCATAATAATGCATAGTCGTATATAATATTATAGAATAATGCATCATTAAAAAAAAGTCAGAAAGATCCAGCTGAGACATCCACCAGCTTGTCTCCGACTTCCCGTTCCAAATGCATGTTCACATCGCCCTGTGCAACGTGCACTGCCCGTCACCCCTTCGAATCATTCGCAGCTATCGACATCATTCGCAGTCTGCCAGGCCTCTTTCTCCTTGAACTTGAAGCTGGAGGAATCGAGGAACTTTTTGATCTCCTGATTTCCATTGTTCCTTTGCCTACTGCAGCCTCCGAAAATGCATGACGGATAAACATGAAAAAAAACTATGCAAGTAAACATGCTTAACCGGTAAACTACGATAAAGCATGTGTTTCCATAAGTTCTCATGATTTTCCATGATTTCCCATGTTTTTACATGTTCTTTCAGGGGCGAATCTGACCCCATTTTCTTCTCACCCCTCGAACTGTTCTGTGCAATCTTGAAGAGTTGGCTTGAAGTTACCCTCTGGTAAACTAACATAACTGGAAAATCACCATTTTTAATGGGTATATCAACTATTTCTATGGCCATTTTCAATAGCTATTTTGACATAACCAGAGGGTACAGGTAGGATCTCTTCTCAACTTCCCTCTGCACCTTGGCTTGCTGATACTGCTCCTGCGCCCCGGGGCGGTACGCCGGATGGATTCACAGCTGAGCCGGGCGCAGATTCGGAGTTCAGCAGAAGAAAAAAGTCGTCCTCCTCGTGCCCAATCTCTGCTTGGAGATCTTTGGCCTGATCCAATTTCTGGAGTAAACCCATGGGTAAAGCCATGGGTAAACCCTAAAATATGGGTACCCCCAAATTCCATGGGTTTTCCCATGGTTTTTCCTATTGATAATAACCAGCTGTGGATGATTTGGGGGATCCTCATTTTAGGAAACTTCTAATTCTGTTCCAAAGATTGTCCAAAGTGATCCAAAGTGCATTCATTCTTGGACTAAGATGAGACATGCTGAGACTGCGACCACTTTGGCTGCGGAAGACAGCGAGAAGCACCTTCTGAAAGCAGATCCAAATAGGTCCAGGGTCAGGGTCAGCAAAGCTTTTTCAAATTGCTAATAGATTGATTGGAAGCCCCTCGAAGCAAAATCAGAATTTCGAACCTCTGCTGCACTGGACAAAGAAGTGGACGCAGAGCTTGTTGTTTGAAGCCTGGCACACTACAATCACTGCAGCGGAACAACCACAACCACTACGCCATCCCGGTTTCTGCAGCGTCCGGCCTGTGACCTTTGGCACCGCAGTGCCACAAGCTCTCAAAACTCTCGGCAGCATCCTTACCACACGCAGCTGTACTGAGGGGACCCCATAGACCACCAAAAATCGTGCGCGTTTCTTCCCTTGTAATTCATGATTGGACAGCGTCTTCCTTTTTCTTAGTTTGTTAATAAGCATGCAAAACAAACAAAAAAAACAATGATAAACTATACCCATCTATACTCCATGTACCATCATTTACCCAACTTTACTATAGATGGTGGATTCAAAATTCATTATGCCCAAGGTACCTGAAGAAGTCGTCCTTGAGGGGCTACCCTTGAGCAAAATTGCTGCAACTGCCGCAGCCTTTCCCGGTGACGTCGTAGCGTTTGAAGGCTCCGAAACATGTCATGGAAACCATGGGAAACCATGAGATATTGCCGACTTGGCAAGTTTTGTAAGGACATGGGAACATCATGGAAAATACATGGGAAATACATGGGAAAATATGGGACAAGGATGGACACATTATGGAAAGTGCGTGTAAATTGTCAACCATTGGATATTAAATGATTTGGGGGTGCTTAGATATTTTCAAACAAAACCATTTCCCCAATTCCAGGCGAGGACTGGAAGACCCCCTAGATAGCTAAGTTGGATTAAGTTGGTTTATAACTCCAATAACTAGGTAACTAGGCTTTGTGGTAGATATATGTAGATATATCAGGTATAGGGTTTACAAAGCACATCATTGTGGGGGCCACCCGGGCCACCCTACAATCATCATCGTCCCACTGCAACTGCCAGAGCGCATCCGGCATTTGACACAAGCTCCTTCCCGAGACTCGATGTCTAAGGCACTATACCAAGCACGGCTTGGAGCCTTCTGCATCCGTGTCATGTGACGCGACATGACGACCCCGGACTGTGAGGGATTCAAAAAGAAACAAGCAGCTGCTGTGTATATTGTCGGCGTCCAGATTCTCAATCAGATTCTCAATCTCTTACCACAATGCCAGGTCAGCCAAGGATCACAATCCCCTTCACAGCCAGCCACCAGGATCCCCCAGTAGCAGAACAGAGGCGGCTGTGGCAGGGCACCAGAAAAATGGCTGGGCCATGGTGGGCCCGGGTCCCACAAATGGACCCAGACACCCAGACAAGTTGTGGACTTCACTGAAAAAAAACTCCCAGATCTCAGGCCCTGCCACAGAGCTACACCAAAGTTCAAGCGGTGTTTGGCTGGCTTTCCAGCTTCACGTTGATGGAAACATGAATAACCGTGAATAGATCATATCTGGGGAAATTATCATATGTCACTAACCTGAAATAAGACCATCTTGGGACAATTCTCCTTACTAGCCTTTAATCCAGTGAGGTCGCAGTGAGGTCGTTATAATATACCCAGATATATAATGAAAAACAACAACTCGCCAAAAAAGGTGACCCAACTCAGGTGAGGCTGAAAAGTCAGAGCGGTGACTTCAAGGCCAAAGAAATCGGCGGCCGCCACCGTGCAACTGTGCCGTGCTGTCATTCTGCACATCCATTATAGTTTCTTTAAGAGACAGACATCATTTGACAAGTTTTGAAGAACGACATGAACATTCGGAAAAAAGAACACAGAGATCGATCACTTTTCTCTCAACAAATCCACAAAATCTATGGAATCTGCACACGGTCACCAGCTGCGTGTCATTCATCGAGCACATCCGCTTTCCGTTTGGATGTCGCATCCTCTGTTGCCTCCATGGCGTCTTCGGCATCATTGCCCGCCTGCCTCACCGGACCTTAGATCCAGGGATGATTTCAATTTAGCTCCCAAGATAGAAAACTAACATCCTACTAAAGTAGTGATATATATATATATACATGGATATATATATATATATATATCCATATATATATATACATATATGGATATGTCCCAGCTGGATCCTAACCATACACTTATCCAGATATTTACATCCAGATATGGTTAGTATATAGTTATGAATATATATATATATATATGTGGATAGTAAGGTTAATTAATATGGGAAGCTCCACATAATAACCCGAGCAAACTTGCAGATGGTTAAAAAAGAACCGGAAAAAAGGCTGATGGTTTGGGGGTTCTAATTGTTTTTCACACATTATATATATATAGAGAGAGAGAGAGGCAGTATATCTCCTGTATATTGCCCCCATGAAAAGCGCTTTTCATCAGAAACCTCTCAGCTGCCAACTATCTTTGGATCCACGAGGACCTGGCAGCACCAGACATTGATGGTTTTTTCAGGTTACTTCATGAGAAATTAAATTACTTTGATTCATCAATGTTGTTGTTTCATTTTAAAAAAAATATCTAGTGGTCAACCATAATCTAGTTATACACTTTTTATGGTTATTCATTATTGTTATTCAATGTTGTGGTTGATTGAAAAATACTTTGAATAACCATAATGCGGTCAAACCTGACCCAAAAGGTACCGTTGGGGTGATGTCGAAAATGGTCAACCCTTTCTGAAACTGTTAGTTGTCCATGTCATGATTAGTCATAGTATGATTACATCTATGTAAATCGCCAAGTAATCTTAATAACTGAGGTAATATACTATTCTATGTAACTATTCTATCTTAATAAAATCTTTTAATAACCAACTAACTGCGGTTGAAACCCCGATCGCGTGTTTCGTCATCTCCAGCCATCAAAAATGAACATCCCACCGGGGCCCAGGGGCCCAGATCCTCTGGACCTTCTCCGACGCCGCGCCTTTCACCCGGCGTCGGGGACGTAGCAAGGCCGACAAGTTCACTGGACGCTGCATCTCTGGCGGCTTTTCCACTGTCATGGCCTCAGATTCCAAAGGTGGAACTCAAGAGATTCCAACGTTCATTACTATATATAACCCATGTGTATATATATATATATATGTGAGTGTGTATAATAGTAGTCCGTAACTTTCGTATGCAAGCATATATATATATATTATAATGTATATTATATTATATATATACACTAAATATATACTATACATACATATATATATATTAAATATATTATACATATATATATATATATATATATATTAAATATGTATTTATAATATATATATGTATATATATCAAATATAAATATATATATATAGATAAATAGATATCCTAAATGTTCAAAATGGATGTGACACAATGGGGAAATCAACCTCCGTTCAAAAGGGAGGAGGTAGTCGATTGAACACATTTTTTGGGGAGAAATCGCTGCTTTGTTGATTGTACATGTTGGATCATTTTTGTTGATTAAACAACCATACCGTGGTCAATGGATACACTGAAATGTCCCAAAAACTGAAAGTCAAAGTCGCCACTTGGGTGATTCTTCTCATTTCTTCTCTCGTTTTTAGGCCGCATTGAGCTGTCATGTTGATTTTTCGACGCTCATCATCAGGTTAATTTTCGAACTTAACTTCAAAGTGAAGTTCAATTCAAATGTCAACTTCCAGCACTTTTCCATACTTTTCCTCAAGAAAAGTCCCACCCACTTTTCGGCCAGGCCGGCAACATCTCGCGCCTGCCAATCCCCGAAGTCAGCCCAGCGGGCAAAGATACCATCTGCCTCATCATCCGCGTCCAACATAGTGGCCGTCTGGCGGCTGAAGAAATACCTGTGCCACGCCAGGAATGAATGTGATATTTCATCGGCAGAAAACCAAAAGAAAACCAAACATGTGGCCAGTGAATTGAGGGGTCTGAAATCCGAAAGACCCTGCAAGACATCATTAGCTGAGGATCAACAAATCATGTGAAAAGATGTGAACAGGGATAAAACATCATAAGGGATCAAACCTGACTTTGTCTTCACATTTGACTTCCAACATCTTCCAACATGAGCTTTGAAATTGGGAAACTCCTCAAACTTGAGAGTTTTGTTTGTCATGTTTTTGCCCCCAAAAAATTCTTCGCAAAGGTTCCCTTCCCATCGTTTTCCCCCAAGTTGTTCTCCATTGAGGTAGCCACACTTTTCCACGATGTTTCAGGACTGGCGAATCCATGATGACCTCCAGTGGAACCATCGGAATCCCATCTGACCATCCAAAACCACCAACGAAGTTCCCCTTTCTTAGCGGCTTAGCGGATCAAACACCATCACGAAGCATCAAAAACCAATGAAAAACCATGGAAAACCCATCAAAACAAATCAACAAAAACATCAAACGCCCATCAAACACCATCAAACACCAATCAATCACCATCAAAGACCATCAAAAACAATCAACAACTAATCAAAAAAACAATCACACACCATCAAGAACCAACGGAAAACACATTAAACACCAAGAAATCCAACAAGCCACAACAAACAATGCTAAGGAAAAAAAAACAGTTCACCAGGTGATCTGAAAAAACATCAGAATGTTCTCCTTGCTTCGCTATGCTTCGCTCAAAAAGGGGCCTCAAATTCGATCTCCGTTCCGCTCTTTTTCCGTGTGGCAAAGACTGGTTGGCCCTTGGTGGCTGCATCACCTCGGCGTCGATCGGTCGTGAATTATGAATTTCGCCAAAGTTTCACGAAAGAAATCTTGAGTAACCACCCAAAAAGGATAGAAAAAGGATGACAAAGATGAGATTTACCACTATTTTGGGATTAGATTTGACGTTTGGATCTTTTTGATCCTATTTTTGGGGGGGACTTACGCCTTCTTAAAACATCACCCATGTTGGCGACTCATCTGTGCAATCTCACCAACTTGCGTCCAAGGAACCATACCATTAAAGGATATTCAAAGAGATTAGAAGCCACTCCTATTGCTGTGTCAAATCCGTTGGAATGTCTACCAATCATCTGCTCATCCTCCATTGAATGGATTGGTTTGAGGGAAAATGTTAACCGGAACGCCCCATATTTCATGGGAAAATCTCTGGTTTCCGGCTCAGTCCCCAACAAAAGGTGTTTCAATGTTTTTGCCATGTTGGTATATCATTTTATATACCATATAATATACCCATTATATATAGCCATATACATACCATTGATCCATTGACCAATCCATTGATCCATCGAATTCCCCCTTTTTTTTGCAGGTTGCTGGGCACGGCCAAGAAATGCTTGTTGTGTCCCTGAAGGCGCACGATATCTCGATGCCTCACTGGGCGCCTGGGCGCGCTGGCCCGCGATTTTATATAATGCCTTGAAGCATAGGGCTTCGTTGGCCTATAGATTATGTATAGATATATATATATATACATATACTTTTGTGATGGAAAAAAGTTTTACGTATTGATGTAGTGCTTTGTATTTATATTGATCATTATTGATCTAGAATGTGAGAATATGGGTATCGATAGTATCATGTATATATATATATATTATAATTTATATATATATATATGACATACATATCATAGATCATGATTGCTGCAGTAGTGATCTGATTTATTCTAATAGTTACATCACTTGCAATGTGAACGTGGTTGAACGGTTGAACCGACCTGTCTCATCATTCAAGACCCAACAGTTTGAAGCGCCTGCCGTTGGATTTCTGACTCTCCTCAGCATCAAAAGTGCTCAGTGCTCCTTGAAAGTATCGGATGTTCACTGCTTTGTTGATCCATTTCTGTCACATAACATATATTAACAGAATTACCACATTTTCAGCACCAGATGTGCGCAAGTTGCGTTCAGTTAACCGCAGAAACGCGTTCCAAGACTCCCCTGAGGTCTCACAAAAGGAGAATTCCTGCGTTGGATCAATGGAGGTTTCAATTTCGGGGTCTTACAATGGAATATTGGGAATATTTTAAGGGAATCTCCTGGGGAACAATGGACTGGGTGGTTGGATAAATCCACAGGATATCTGGGTTTTTAATGGTTTTTACAGCAATACTCACGAGTTTCCAGCACAATTTTCCACAGGAAAGGACGACCCATAGGATCCATGTATGCTATATATGGTAACATTATGTAACATTTGCCATCAATATACCCCCAATGTTAGCATATATACCAGCACCATGGATCCTATGGGTAAGGACAAACTCTGCCCGTAAAACTTGCCACTTTCAGCCGCCGCCTGCCACAATCCTTTGTCGGCCCACGAGCAATCCACCTGGAGTGGGTCCAAATTCGACCTTCCAGTAGAACTTTTGGTGATAGAAATAGTGGATTTACCCATTGATAGCATGGTGATGTTCCATAGTTTTGTGAAAGTTTACCAGAGGGTAAGCATGTTTGTTGAAAGCCGTTCTGTGTGGGTGAAACAGTCTTGGTTTTAAGAGTCCCCCAATTCGCATGCATCTCTTCGCCTGGCGTCCCTGCACATCCATGTACATTCCATGGAAGACGCGCAGGTATACCTTTTCGCCTCAGGTGCACGAGATATTGGAGTCTCAACTTACCATCTATGGACCATATATGATAATTCCCGATAAAGGGTAGTAAAAACCCCCAACTATTACAGTCATCATCAACCAACAGGGGTTTCTACGTTGGAACACTGCTTTTGTTGCTGCTAGGAAAAGGGGTGCTGAGTCAAACCTGTCAGAATCGAGCTTTCGGGCCATAGTAAACCACTGCGTCCTCTGGAGATGGGTGTAGCACCTCCTGCTGGGCCCCACGTTCAGTTTCCGTCATGCCATGCCATGGGTGCCATATGGTGCCATATGGTGCCATGATTGCCATGTCTCCTCTAAGGGATCTTCACCAGCGTGGTCCCAGTTGGGCAACACCAGAGCGGAGCGTTTCAAAAGTCCCATCTCTTGTGCCACTTGGTAGTTCCACTCCTGGCGAAGGCTTCGAAGGTGAAGGTGACTCCGGTGACTGGATCCGGCCTAAAAAAGGCCAGGACCTTTTTCGGAGCTTCACAGACTCTGTGAAAACATGTAGCTACTATCTAGTTCGTAACTCCCCAATGAAGATGGAAAAGTCATGAAAAGTCATTTACCAGCATCTTTTGAGGAGTTCTACTTTTCTGCGTCTGTTTTGGTGACTGCGATAGATATATAATTTATTTCTAGATAGGATTTTCCATGAAAACAACCCTCCATTAATAGGGGTACCTCCATTTATGGAAACCCCCAAATTTACTACAGGAACTTCCGAAAACTCATCCTGGGTGGCCTTGTCTTCAGGATCCTCTTTCCAGTTCCAGAAGAAGGAGCCGTGGGAGGCATTCCTGACATGTCGCGCGGTTTTTTATGAGGCTTTAATGACGGCTTAATGATTAATGAGGTTTAATATGGTTTAATGAGGTTTGATGAGGCTTTTATGAGGTTTAAATCAGGTTTGGTGATGTTTAAGAAGCCCATAATCTGTCATGTTCTTTTGGCAAAATAGCATGCTCCATGCTGGCAAAGGAAACCTGACATCACCCGAAATAGTCAACACCATGAAACAATCCAGGAAACACAACTTGGCTGGGGGTAAAAAAGTCAATTGCAATATCCAATGGTTTTTTTCCCATCCAAGAGCAGATATTTTTTCCCATCCATCAGATTCCATCAGTGTTTTCTATGTATTTTCCATGGATTTTCCAGCTATCTCCAGCCACATCCCGCCTAAAGGCCTCCATCTGCTGGGCACCAAAGACGCTGATCACAGCCTCCTGGGGAAATCATGAGGAAATGATGTGGGGATATAATCAACAATATGATATGGATATGATGTGGTTATGATGTGGATATGATATGGAGATGATGTGGATATGTCCAAAAATGTTGGGAACCACCCAATGTCCACTTGTTTATTGTCACTGTCCCCATTGAAATGCCAATCTTGGGTGTTTTTTGCCCCGTTTCTGGGCAAACCAATATTTATAAGCAGATTCTCACTGCGAGGTAACCCCTCAAATTGATCAGCCAGCAGCTATATGTGTTGACATTATGGGTTCTACAGGAGATAACTATCATAAAGCGTGTGTATATATGATTATATAATATAATATATATATATAGTCTGTAGTCTTCCATTCATGGCGATAAGAATGCGTGGAGATTATATTCTGCCAAGCATATATGGGGGTCTGAAAATAGGGTACATTAAATACTCATTTCATCCGTTGGTTTATCACCATCTAGCCTATTAAAATATCTTTTAAAATAGCTATAGCTTGGGGGCTTTTCAGACCTAGCGATGTGTTTGATGTGTTTCCATATGTCCGGCATTTCCGGCCTCATCCATGTTGCCACAGGTGCACCAGGTTGCACGACCCAAGCATAAGGCCCATTCACCTCGTCGGTCCCATTACTTGGAGCCAGCAGCCATCGGGGCCACTGGTTAACTATGATACCCTCTGGTTATGACTAACATAGCCATGGAAAATGGCCCATAGAAATAGAGGTTTACCTATTAAAAATGGTGATTTTTTCCATGGCTATGTTAAATAACTAGACGGTAACTATGGTTTATGGGGAGACACAACTATAGTATCTATAGGTAATGGATGGTATCATAGTTATCTATAACATTGGTTAACTATGATAACTATAGTATGATATGATAACATCCATTACCTATAGATAACTATGATAACATTGGTTAACTATGATAACTATAGTATCAGCTAATGGATGGTCATGGGCTTTACAAACCAACACAACGTGGTCAAGGTCTCACCTGACGTCACATCCGTGGTCGAGGATGCCAAGCGGATGAAAATTTCTGACATGAAAAAATGTTGAGAGACTAAATGTGTTTCAACACTTCGGGAGTGCAACTTCATAATATTATATAAACCATCACATATATATAATATATATAATATGAACTGGGAAATCTCGATCATGGCGATGCACAGTGTGCCTGCCACCATGGGGTAGCGCTCAAACATGGCACTGTTTTCCTGCCGCTTGAGGTCTGGGGGATGCGAAAAATTGGCTTTTTCGAATCTGGCTGAAAAATCCCCACGAATACTTTTTTTGTAGGTAGAATGAACATCTACAATTGGAGGATTGTCCATGATTTTCCAGGATTACAATTGTCTGTTCCACTTAACGACGTCATCACCATGACCATCGCGGGGAATGTTGGATGTTGCGACGCAGGAACCTCACAACGAGCTCACTGCAAATGATGGGCGTTTGTAAGGCGAGTTTCATCCCACCATTTTCACATGGGTTATGTACCCTTCATGGCAATCTCAATGGGACAAATGTGTCTGGTTGGTGGTTGAGCCCTACCCCTCTGAAAAATATGACTTCGTCAGTTGGGATTATGACATTCCCAACTGAATGGAAAAATAAAAAATGTTCCAAACCACCAACCAATCAACCATGTGTTATTAACCAATGGATTTCAGACATGTCCCGTAGATTTCAGCCAATCCATTGGTTAAGGCGGCCCCTTGAAGCACCGAATGTCACCGAATGTCACCAGCGTCCTCCACCGCTCTCAGCTGTTCCGCAAAGGTTTTGCCGTGGAATTGGTTCTCAAAGCCTCAGTCTATTGAGGGATTGGATGGATCGAAGCTGCTAAGAATGGATGACCATTCTAAATAGATCATATGGTTTTCTGGACCACATAGAATAGCTTGATGTTTGAAGATTTAGGGGTCCCCCATTCTATATTCTAATCAACACTGACAGGTGTTTTGCGGGTCTTCCGCACCTGATTTGGGGTCCCAGGTAGACAGGATTGCTGGCCCTATGTCATGTTTTTGGAGGGAAAGAGCTAAATCTAGATATCAATTATATCTTATATACACATATTTACTATGTGAATTTATGTCATATATTGTATTTACTATGTAATCTATGTATACAAGCATATGTAACAAAAAATGTGACTAAATCATTTCCCAGAAACAGTGGTAACAGTGAACGTCGAAGCAAACGTTCCGATGGCGTCCCTGGGTCATCTTCGACCATTTGGCGATGAAGGCTTCTTCACCTGCGCGCGAGGTGATCCCAGCGACTGCAGTGTGGTGCGCCATGGATGGTTAGCCAAGTTGGTTTAGAGAACCCAGTTCACTGTTGGATTTAATTGTAGACATATCTATAGTTCATTGAATTTAGAAACAACTTATACGTTAGGGGCACCACCTTGTAGTAATACCCTCTGTTACAACCAATTCATACATGGGAGACTCCAAGAATCCTCGACTTCCTAACGATTGTTCTTGATTTACTGCTTGCAAAACTGGGATGAACGTCCAGTTACTCTCCAGTATTGTACTGGTGGCAATGGAACATTGAGAAAAAAAATCATTATACCGTATACCAATGATGTGTTTTGCCCAGCGTGAACATGATGATTATCGATGGCCAATCTGAGTAGCAGCAAATCCAGTAGCGAAGACAAGTTCGTCTGGAGGTTCACCATGGTTCACCCATACCCAGATGTTTATTTGTTAGATCCGCAGTCATTTATTGTTCTTGCTTAAGTCATATTCAAATCTGCAAATGTTCAATATCTTTCAGTATGGTTTTGTCTGCAAATAAGGATGCTCCATCACATGTGAATGCATTTATTCCCAATCAAAATTGCCATAATTTGTGAGTTAGATAATGACAGATACCCAGTTTCAAACAGCCCCATAATTTATGGTTATATACTGGTTAGTGGTTTCAATCCCTCTGAAAAATATGAAAGTCAGTTGGGATGATGAAATTCCCAATATATGGGAAATCATAAAGTCCATGGTTCCAGTCACCACCAACCAGATCATTAGCCCTTATTAACCATGATCAACCATCATTAACCATCATTAACCATCATTAACCATCATTAACCATCATTAACCATCATTAACCATCATTGGCCATCATTAACCATCATTAACTAGCATTGATCATTATAATAATTGTTGACGACCCATTTGGGCGTACAAAGTCCAGGTGGCCCGGAAGAAAGATTCAGAACGTGCCGAGAAGTGGTCGCACCTTCGGGACGCTGGAAGATTGGTAGCACCACCGCTACACGGCTCTCGGGCATGCCAGCCTGCGAAAAATGTGGGACTTTTGTCGTTTCAGAAAGGTGGGACTTCACAGTGACTCAGTGACTTCACATATTCGACAAGATTTACCAGCAATGGAAGCCAGCTATGGAAGCCATGGCCGATTTTAGTTCGATGATTTTCATTGCGAAATGACCAAAAAAAACCTCGTCTGCGCCTTGCGGATGGTGTCCACTGCCTTCGAATAGTACCTCTGCTGACGGACTTGGTGAGCGATATGTGGAAGTTTCCCAAGAGTCAAAGAGGAAAAAAGAGATCCAGGTCTAGTGATATGTTCTGTTTTTTTTTTCTGTCAGACAGACAAGATAACATATGACAGACATACCCGGTATGACAGAAAAATCATATATATATATATTATAGGTAATATATCATTATAGGTAATCATCATTATATAATCATCATTATTATCATTATAGGTAATATTTTTTAATAATGATAATAATGATAATAATGATTCTGATAATGACAATTACCTATTATTATAATCATTATATTATCATTATTATTGATGTAATCATAGGTAATCAAATAACCCATATAGATGTATAGTATATGGTTATAACATAGGATTATATATAGAATAACGATAGGATAACCCATTTTCCATATATTTTTGATATCATCTATAGTTCCCATAGGATAACGATACCTGCGACATCAAGGTCACGACATCAAGGTGTTGCCCGGAATGACGCCACAGGGTTCGTTGCAGACTGCGATGCCCGTGACACAACTGCGGTCTCTGTAGCGCTTGGCCAAGAGCTGCCCAAACAGCCACGGATGGAATGGGCTGGGGATTAGCTTCAGCTTCTGATCTTAGACTCTTAGAATTCGGACTTGACTTTAGGTTCTGTAGATTCTGTAGATGTTCACTATTATGTTCACTATTATTCACTTTAGGTTTTCACTATTATCACTATTATTATCACTATTATTATCACTATTATCACTTTGGGATCTTTAGTTTCTGATTATGGATCACTTTTTTGCATGTGAAACGGCCGAGAAAACCATCATGGAGGATCCCCTAGACTTCCATCCGTGAAAATGACAGAGGTCGCGATTTGGAAATTTGACATTTCGATAAATTAAGAAATGGCCCAAGCAAATACGTATGTATATATAACATATATATATATGTACACGTGATTTGGCTTTGAAATATGGTTGAACATGATGAAATCCAATAGTTATGTAAAATTACCAAAGGACAAATTTCCCCATGTAGCGGTAGATGATGATGGTTACATGGAACGTTTCACCACTCCTGCATTGACAAAAGTAGTGCACCTAGGATCCCCTGATAAAATCACTATCCGCATTGCACCCCCCGTAAAACCATATTATCCCAGGTGAACCCCCATCAATATTAATACTATCCCATTAAGAAGATCATATCCCATATGGCTTGGTCATATATATTCCATTATAATATATATATATATCCCATACAAAACCATATATATATATATCCTATATATATATCCTATATATATATATATATCCTATATATATATCCTATATATCCTATATATCCTATATATATATATCCTATATATCCTATATATCCTATATATCCTATATATCCTATATATATATCCTATATATATATATATATGCATCATATCCCCCATGCATCCCGCGCTGCCTGAAGGATTTTCAGACTTGCAGCGAAATCCCAGTGTTTCCAATGCCAACGACTCTCGGGTCGCTGTCGTCGGCCGCATGGCGCCTTTTTGGCGAGGCTGGGAAATCTTCGGTAGATCACGGTGGTGCCCCATGGTTAACTAAGATGGGGGTTGTATCTATACATATCTAAATACTTAAATTTATGAATAGGGATATATCAATATCTATATCATGGGGGTTGTATCTATATCTATACTGAAGTCATCTTGATTCTATGAATAGGGTTTATAAACCAACTTATAGCTGGGGGGGGTACCCCCCTACACATTCCGGCTGTGGAAACACCCCCATCCCCACGTGGCGGTGCTGGGCCGCCGCGGCCTCGGGGCTTTCACCCCCTGGACAGCCGTGGAGATCCAAGACGATCTGCAAACCCAACTCCTGGAATCGGAAAATCCCCAGCCAGAAAAAAGGCTTTGTCATGGAAAGATCCACCATGCTATATAGCTAGGTAAAGCATCTATTTCGATTAGGGCCATCAATATATACCATGGCTATGTAACAAATAACCAGAGTGTATAATTTGATCATCTTTTGGGTCTGTCAATATATATATATATATAGATATATATATATAGATATATATTAATGGCTATTTTATAATGATCATTAAATATTGGATATAAAAATAGTGTTAATGATCATTATAATCTATATATATATAATGATAACACTATTTTTGGCTATTAAAAATTATCATATGTATTTATATGTCACCTATATATTCACTATATTAAGCAAATGTCTATACTGTACACTATAACACTATCATCTTTTTTTGCAACGTGGAGATTTCCATAGTCATGGGGTAACCCAATAGCTGAATGGTTTATGTTGGAAAGTGCCATGAAAAGTAAATGGAGGAGAACTGGGGGTACCCCCATGACTATGGAAACCCATATCAACTTCATGCCACCCACGACCATTGGTGGGAAATCTCTGAAAACTGGTGGAAAATCGATGGAATCTACAGGCAACCGTCATCAAATCATATAAAATCAATGGTTTCCCGTAAATTCCCCAAACATCAATCCATTGAGCGCAGGAATGGGCTTCTCGCATGTTCTATTTATTGAACAGCCAACCAGTCCAACCAGGCTGTCCATGTGCGGAGTCAACCGTTGAATTTATTGTATCTGGCGGCATCACCGTTGAATTTCCCAGCCTCCTACTGACCTGAAGGGGCCTGAGGTCTGACAACATCAGGGATAGCTGTTTTAGACATGGCTTCCCGGAATGGGGATGTTTGGTAGTCCAAACATAAACCCCATATTTTCTACGACCAACGGATGTCCATTCAACCGTGGGAACGATAGAGTCTCTCCAACCCTACATACTTCTGGGATTCTATGGGTGAAGATGCTCAAGACTCACGTGAACCGCAAATCATTGGTCACATTAAACATTTATGAATCACCAAACTCCAATTAAAACATCCGCCTTTTTGGGGGGAACCATACGGTTTTGTCCCATCAAACTATATCCTCTGTAAATATCCATAACTCGTACTAGTGGTTGATCAAGGTATATACTTGGCGGTGCCGCTACACATATACTTAAATCAATATAAATTGATTATAATGACTATAATATATAAATACATCATATATATATATATGTATATTATACATGATATGTATATATATATATATTGTATGTATATTATATGTATATAGTTATATAACCCAGTGTTAGCGTATCCATAGTGTATCCCTTCCTCTCTAAAAATGCTCTCCCCACAAGGCCCCCGTGGTCGTCCTCGGCCCAGGCTACGGCACGATCCACATACTCAAGGGCTGGACCGATGTAGGGCTCTTTGGGCCTCGATATTTCGATGGAATTGAATGGGTTGTTTCCTATGGATTGCCGAACTGGATTTCCTATGGATTACCGAACTGGAGATCAAAATGAACCTCTTTTTCAAAGCTGTTTCCAACGACTGTTTTTGAACACTACAGTATTCTTATGCTTATCATCACTGTTTTCTCACAGTCTTGTGTTGCTACCATATCTTGGGGCTAGAAAACCAGCATTCAACTGGTTGATGTCGAACATATTCAGAATATGGGCATGCCGTAGATGTATAAAGGGGGTCAAATCAAAATCTGGAGCCTGGCAAATCTGAGGCTTTACTACAAATGGGGGTTTCCTAAAATGGTGGATATCCCCAAATGGATGGTTTATAATGGCAAATCCAATTAGAATTGATGATTTCGGGGTACCCATATTTTAGGAAACCTCCAAATATATCCATGGGGCCGTGGACCATGTCATGGCTTTCAAGTCACCTGAAACAGGATAAAAATCTCACTGTGACTGGGTATCCATGACCCTCTGGTGCATTTTGCACCCATCTTTGGATGAATGTCCCGTTGCCAATGGTGATTTTTAGGGTTGCCACATTTCTTGTTCCAAATTCTCTCCGGGTCAAGCCACACTCGTACCTTGCTGTTTCAACACTGGTATCATCACTGCCAAAAATCTTTCCGGTCTCGATCTTCATCCTACCATCCCAAAATGGAAAATTCTCCCCATTTACCCGGCCTGGTAAACTTTAAACGTTTACATAACTATGGAACATCACACCATTTTCAATGGGAAAATCCACTATAAATCTATGGTCCATCATTGGGACCAAAACTGGACCCATAACTTCCAAACCTCTGCCGCACCTGGGCTCTGTGATCACCCAATAGCCGAAGGGAAGACGCACCGCATTGAGGCCAAAGGCCTTGACCCGCTGGAAGTCGGCCTAACCGTAGCATAGCGGAGATGGAGATGTCCTGGTTTTCAAAAAAAGGGAGAGATGGGGATGAAATTAGAACTTTAAATCATATAAATGATGGATGTAGATGATGAGTATTTAAATCTTTAGGGACCATCTAAGTTTCTATGATTTTCCATTTTCTGGATGAAATTATGATCCCATTCTTCAAGATGACCCCGTTCTCAGTGCTCAGGGCCCATCCCAGTATCCCGGGCGCATCCCATCCGGGGTCCCAGCCGACTCAACAAGTTTAAGTTCAGTCGTGTCTACGATGAACTCCAGGGATTTTCTCATCCTTTTCAGATTGCTCAACTCATCTCAACTCTATTCATGTTACATTTAAAAAAACAAGTCCAGTATCGGTTTGTACACTTTGTTGTTGACTCTTCCAATTTCTGTCTCGAAATATCCCCATTATGGTGGATCCCATGGCACTTTCGCATTCCCATGGCACTTTCCAAATCGGCCATCAAGGTTTCTTTGAAGACAGGGTGTCATCACTTTCGGATACTTGACTCAGTATGAGCCGGTTAAGACACACTGAAATCATATGACATAACAACATATTATCATATAACATAACCGAATTCAATGTAAAATAATATATATACATAACCTAATTCAAAATATATAATATAACCTAATATAATATAATATAATAATATAATAATATAATATAATATAATATAATATAATATAATATAACACAATAAAACACAATAAAACACAATAAAACAAAGATAACACAACACAATATAATACAATATGATATGATATGTTATAGTATAACAAAATATAACAAAACAAAACAAAACATGATATAATATAATAATATAATGTATTAATTATACATATAATATATACACAGTGTTCAATCTATCTATATCTATCTATCTATCCATCCATCCATCTATCTATCTATCTATCTATCTATCTACCCTCTGGTAAATTAACATAGACCCTGGCAGATAGGGGTTGGAAGACTAGTTTCCATTAAAAATGGGTGATTTTCAGGGTCTGTGTTTATTTACCAGAGGGTATCTATCTATCTATCTATGGGTATGGGTCAAAATTAGGTACCCCAAAATTATGGATGGTTAATACTAAACTAGACTAACATCTGTGGTCCCCTAGGTCTTCCATTTTGACCCACATCCCTATAATGAAATCTTTGGTTGGTCAGTTGGTCATGTCTCCCCGTTTCTCCCCGTGGCACCTTGGTGATGTGCGTCTCACGGTGGGATCGAATCACCTCCATAGCGCCCGCTTTGCCCAGCTTTTCGTGGAGCACCTGGAGAAAATGGTGCCAAAATGATACCAAAACCATAGGAAAACCATAGGTAAACCATTGGTATATCATGGTATCTCTATTGATATCATGGTATATCTATTGATATATCTATTGATACAACTAAGGTACCCGGCCTGGTAATGACTAACCATAGGAAAACCATAGGAAAAACCATAGGAAAACCATAGGACAATGGAGGTTTACCCGGCCTGGTAATGACTAACAGTTTGCGAACTTGAAAATGGTGATAGAAATAGTGGAATTACCCATTGATAGCATGGTGATTTTCCATAGTTATGTTAATTCAATTTAATTTACTAGAGGGTACTATGATTGCTGGATATTAAGGATGGTAGCTTACTACCTGATTTTCATGGAAAATGATAGTATCATTAAATGGTGATTGCTGGCAGATATATCATGATGTATCTACAAGAATCTAAAAGATATATCTACAACAAAGGAATCTGGAATAAGTTGAGATAGTTGTTGTAGATATCTTATGATTCTGATCATCATCACTTTTACAAACATATAATACAAAAGGATAAGGTACCCATCCGGCATGTCTTATCAACTTGGATTCAGGTTCATCTTTCTCGATTTCCGTTTGAGAAAGGGTCAACACCCTAGTGGCCTTGCTAGAATAATGATGGTCATGGTCATGTTGGAACCTGAATAACAGTCCAATATTCAGCGTAATTGTTTGGTATTGACATGTATTGACCCATGCCATACCGCATACCCAAACATAGATCATCATGCACATGGATAACTCTCGAATGGAACCTCTCTTGCTACATCCAAATTCCAATGGGAATCCCCTATGGTAGGTATCTCCAATTTAGGTTCCGCCGATCTAACGAAAGGGACCTGCAGGAGATCCCCGCCTTCATCAAGTCCCATTCGCAACGGGCCTGCAGCAACCGCAATGAATGGGATATGTGATATACGTGATATATATCTTTTTCTTGGGCAATGACGATGCAAAAATGGGACTACTCATTCAAGAACACACACACAAACATATATACACATACACCAAGAACCTGCATTAACCTCTTCATTTGTGAAGGGTTCAACATGTTTCCAACTTTCAAACATTCAAATCTTGGAGGTTAACATAGGTTAAACATTCAGTATGTTTCAAAATGTCCAGCTGTCCAATGCTGTCCAGCTTAGTCTGGGCAATGATCCATCCCAGGGCGTGTCGGCGTACCTGGCTCTTGTCCTTCAGCAAGTGATGCGTAAAGAGCGGATAGGATGGACCAGGCTCCAGCAGGAGCCATCCGCCCAAGTTGACACCTGGTTTACCAACGAGGAACGGCTCATCAGATGCCATGGAGATGGGATTTTCTGGTGATTTCATGGAAATTGGACCATGGGTATACCCCCAATGAAATAGCCATTTAGTAGGGATAATGATCAGCAAAACCATTGGGTTTAGGGGTACACTATTTTCAGACAAACCCATATTTCCATAGAAATTGCTGGAGACCTGCCCGCCCCAACCTTTCCAGGGCTGCGCCAAGACATCTCGCACTTGCGTCATGGCTGATGGGGATCGATGGGTCGTGTGGAGATATGACAAGCTGTGCAGAGTTTCAGCCACCCGATATGTTCAACACTCTGAAACTCTGGAAGTTGTGACACCATCTGATCATCTTCGGTGTTCACATGTGTTCACTCTGGATATGCGTATGATATGCGTCATGGATCTTATGACTACATATATAGGACGGCCTGTTCGAGCATCGAGCCCCGGCATCGTACAGAATGCAGCCGAAGAGAGGTGCAACCAAATCCTGAAACAGCGGTTAAACTGATTAAAAATCATGCTCTTGTATCAGCTATAGTGTACCAGATTTGGGGATAGAATATGATAGAATGGTATAAATCCCCACAATTCCCAGAATCTTTCCAAGTATTTCAATGATTTTCAGTTTTTTTCTGTGTGCCTTGCATTGAAGGAATCTGCTCATGCATTTGCGTTGATGACACCCCACTTTGGGTGCAGCCGTGTCCCTCAGTTCTATCGAGTTCCCCCCTCGGGAAAAGCTCGTAAAAATCACAGCTCCAGCGGTGAGGGAACTGGAGCAGGAGATCATGTCTTGAAGAATCTGTTTTACCATTGACTACCAGTAGGATTTCGGTAAAATGTCCTATGATTTATACGAAATTTATACAGTAATGAAAATTCTGGAAGAGCCTTCCAAAGATTTTCACGTATTCACGTATAGTATGAAAAATGCTACTGCCAACGTTGGCAGTACAAACCAGCACTTTGGCGACCAGAACTGCTGGGGATTTTGGAGGCTGTTCTAAACAAAATTGAAAATTGGTGCCACGTGACACACGGCCATCTGACACGATACGAGTCACAGCTCGAGCCAAATCTTGGCTCAACCGTCTTAGACAGTCCAGCTGCAGATTTACCCAGGTTGATGATATGATAGTTCGAATCAGTTTTGAAATAGTATGGACTGATTTGGTGAATAAAATATTGCTAATGATTTGATGGTGTATTGCCACAAAAACAACGACACCACAAACTTTGGCTGCAATCACAACCTAGGTCTATCCAAGTATCCTACCACTAGCATTTTCTGCGAATTGGTGCCATGGTCAAGAGACCAGTTGCATTCTCCGGAAGTTGCTTCCCCGCCTATTTGCACAAAGAACGAACAACTTTGAACATGACGAAAACGAAGCAAAGCAAAGTTCCAGAAAAAAAAAACGGTGATAACGTTATTGAGTCATTGACCATGCCACCACCCTACGTGCCGTTGACGCGTTGACGTTGCGTTCTCCGTTTCGGTGTCACTCCATCCGCGCGCGTGGCTTGAAGAGTTTCAGTCCAAGGGTGGCTCCCGGCTGTCCTCCGGCATGTTTATCGAGATCACTGTAGCCTGGTGATTTGGTACCGTTTTTTGTGTTTATGTTGTCTTTATATATATATATAATATCATTATTATATATATATCTATCTATAACATATATATGTAATTATATCTACATATATATATATATATGTGTATCATGTTGTACCCCCAAAAGATCCAAACAGAATTTGGATTGATGTATACTAATGAGTATATTATATTTTATAAATTGCATTCGATATCATTCGATGTAAAATGGTGCGAGCAAGTTAAGTTAAGCATGAATCCGAACTCAGCCCAGTCGATTATCTGGTGCTATTTTAGCTACAAAAAGAGTTGCCAAACCCTTCTGCACCAACTCCTTCTACTGCTTGTTGATATGTCAATCAGCTTCACTCCCAGTGTGATCAATTTTTCCAAGATCATCACGGGTCTATACTCGTCACCCACCAGTTGATGAAATTGGGAAACTGAACGACACTGACTGAAACCAACTTGAATTCACCCCATTCATAGCTGCAAACAAGTTCGATGCTTTGACATGACACGTTTCGTAGTTCCAGCATGTTCCAGCCATTCAATGTCTTAGACTATTGCACATGTTGGGAGTGTCTTGATCCATTTTAACATATTTTAATTCATCAACAAATGTTTGACTTTTCTTCACTAACAAATGGTTTCCAAGCACGTCTTGAAGTGCTATGGCGCCATTGCGTCATGGTCATCTCCTGCATGTGCCGGTTGCTTTGCCAAGGCTTCCAATGCCAGCACACCTGGGGACAAAACCAGCCAGCAGGCCAAGCAAAAACGATGGGGTTGTAAGTTGTACCTATCCACTATTGATTACGGGGTTACCCTCCACTAATCAAACATTGCTGGGAATATATATATATATATAAACTACAGATAATGGATATATATATATATATAAATTACGGTTAGATATGTATGCATATATATATATACACATTTAGCAGTCCAATTAGATTTTTCACCAACATAAGAATCATCAATGGGAGTTGGATGACAAGTTATGATCCATTGTTGAATATGTGGTTACATACCATGGTTACAAAAGATGGTCAACCAGGAAAATTAGAATTGTGATGCTCATCACCAGAAAAGCAGTTGGATGGGTCACTTCTAACCAGCAAAATGTTGATGTTCACTGACAATAATGCTAATTTGGAGGTGTCCCATTTAATGGGGGATCCCCAAAACATCCATTTTACTCGGATGTTCCCATATCTTGAGGGATAATTCCCATGTTTTGGGGGTACTCAACATTGATGGTTTCAACATTTGGAGGTGTCCTAAACCATCAATGTTGAGTAGCCTCATGACCTCTCGGAAACCCCCAAAATATTTCAGCAACGTTGACGGGATCGGGTTCCCCATGACTTAAGTGAATCCCAGGCATCTCCGCATGCCTTGTCGAATTGGATTGATTATCCCATATGATCGATCTATGGTATATTTACATGACTGGGTGATTTTTAGTGGCCAAATGTTGGGATTCTGGGATTCAATCATATTCCAGCACCATAGGTATTTTAGATGGGTATGGTTGATTCATAAACCGCGACTAGAGATGCAGATCCAAATGTGCGACCGGACGTTTAGGACATTTTTACGCTATGGGGGTGATGCGGATGATGGGAACTGGGAGCCCTGCCGTATGCTTTGCGTGGCGTGTCAGACTCTTCATTGAAATCCTGAGCTGAAAAGGATTGAGTTAAGGTGAACCACCACCAAGCTGATTCAAAACGATGCGAGAAAAGAAGGAATCTCATCAGATGATCAATCCTCATACTACCCTGTAAACAAAGATAACGGTGTGGGAAAGCAATGGTTTCCCGTTCGGAACATGATCTACACGTAGAGTACCCCCCAGATCCTCAAAATTCAGAGTTTTCAGTGGGGAAACCAATGGCTCTGTGGGAGCCCATTTTAGGATGTTTTGCGGCTCCCCAAAATCCCAAATTGTTGGTTATATAAACATATATTATATATCCCATTCTTAGATCCAATGATATCAGACATATCCCATTCAATATCATGTTATATACATATATATATATATATACGTATATATATATATATATCATATTATCATACATCATATACATATACATATACATATGGCATGTTCCATGAAATAAACCATCCATCAACTATGGTACCTCCATGACTATGGAAACCTCCATATATCTATAGCTGTTGAAAATGACCATTTACAGTAGATTTCCCCATTAAAAATTGTGAATTTCCATAGAAAACCATCAGAAAACATCAGAAAACCACCATATTCCCAATGAAGTCAACGTCTAAGAGTCGTTTTGAAGCAGCTGCACCCAAACCTGCGACAAGTTTTGAACTGCTGATCTGTCCACCAGACATCTTCATCGTTGACAACGGAAGCAATGTGTGTCTAGAAAAAAAACACCACTCTACAAGATAGATCAAAGAACAAAATGTAGTGATAGTGAATATGGTAGTTAAAGATCAATATAGTTTTATAAGATAGATCCAACACCACACAGCAAAATACGTTGCCATCATTCAACATGATTCACTGTAGCATTTTTCCCGTGTTGTGAACTCCAAGTCCTCTGAGAATGGGTCAAAACTATCACTGCACCCCACTCCCATGTTCATTCGAAATACGCTGATTGAATTCTTTTTGTTTGTTGGTTATTGCGTTGATTGTTTTTTGCTTAACATGTTATCATTTGCTTTGACTACAGCTACGATCAACCACGATTATTGAACTATGTAGCAGGCGAATTTTTTGTTTTCTTGTACACACACAGCTGTCGACTATCACTAACAGCTCCCCATCCCGATAACAGTTCCCCATCCATCATTGCATCATGATCTTTTTGCCGTTAATGAATGTACACTCCAATGATACTTTGGACAAAAAATATCCCGATGATTACATCAACGGTGATGTGAAGCCTTATTCCATACATTCCGTTCACATTGGTTTGATATTTGATCATGTTGGTCTGTCTGAAATAGGGAACCCCCCAATTTGATGGTTTGTCATGATTTTTGTCCAATGAATATATCTTCCGATCAGCATTTTCATGCGGCCCCATTTACAAAGACCCCCAGCGAACTCAGAAGATGGAGCTTTCCAAGCCGTGGGGGTCCCCCAAATCATCCAAGTCATTCGCGGTCTTATTATTAAAGCTATATCATCCTATAGATCACTATTTTTCATATCATGATATCCCATTATTTATGGGATCTAAGTCACCATGGTTATTCGTGGTCAACCATGGTGACTGGAGATCTCCCATAGCTTCAGAACTCCCCATTTTTTAGATGGTTGATCGACTGATGGTTGATGAATTCCCCAAAAAAATGGTGCCCATTTAGTGGTTCATCGTTGATTAATGTGGATTAGGTTGATGATTTCTCAAAACGTTGATTATAACCCATAGTGAATGTTATATCCATGTTATATCCCATTATGATGAATATTAAAACCATTATAACCATTATTGTACCTATATCATCCTACAGATCACTATTAAATATAACTATCTCTCATTATTTAACCCTAATTGATGGTTGATTATAACCCATAGTGGATATTATATGGCTAACCCTACACTGTTTTAAGTATGGTTGAGTACAACCCTACACTATTGATGGATCTATAATCCATAGGTATCTATATAACATGGTTGAAAAAAAAAATATTTAACATGGTGATATTAATCCATATATATATATTATCCCATCTTATATCCATGTTATATCCCATTATTTAACCCTAATTGATGGTTGAAAAAAAAAACATCTGCTGGCGCCTCACTGCTATCAGCCGCTGCCAGGAAGGATGGCCAGGCGCTTTCGCAACGCGCCAACGACCGGGCATCCAGGAAGGAGAGGATCAGCTGCACCTTGGGACTTAGGACTTGGGCCAGGGCCAGGGATGACCCAAGATGTTTAACTTAAAGGATATATCAGATGATATAAGATTATGTATGCATATTAGGAATCCTCTTTGATCTATATACATATATATATATGTATGTAACTATATAACTATATATATAACTATATAATACTATATATATATATGTATGTAATATATGTGTAATATATGAATATATATATATATATATGAGATGTGGAACAAATTACTAAGTGGGAAGTGAGGTTTTCCTCATAGACGTGCAGGTTTTAAAGGCCCACCTTTTTCAGACAACCCCATAAAATATGGCTGTTGGTTCTTTATCGCGATATATCCCATCATATCCCCTTGTTACACCCATAAAATTGCTAATTACCCTATTTTAAGACAAAACCAAGTGAGGTATTATCAATGTACTATCAATGCGAGAGCAATATTGGATGGCGATGCAATGCGATGCAGATCCGACGTCCGTTCCGCGAACCTTGTGGAAGTAAGACGGTTCCGCAGAGAGTTCTAAGTTTGAGAATGTTCAATTTCATTACAGCACTGTTCCGAGAACACTTTGTCGAAGTACGTAGACGAGGTGCTGCGGAACGCCCTGTCGGACGGGCATCCCCTGCCCGCTTTCTTACACTATCATCATGAGTACTCTTTATGTTTGTATTAATATTCACTACTCAATTCCACCTGAAATCCTGCCTAAACCCAACTGACCCATTACTTTCCCATGAAAATCTCCCATGAAAATCTCCCATGACTTTTTCCCAATGACACCCAGATGTACGGTGGTGCTGCGTCCTAGCGGCATGCCACACGTGGAGCAGCTGAATGAGCGGCAGGGGATCCTCTAAAGGTCCCAGCTCTGGCAGATGTTGATCTCAGGCACCGACGGAGCTGGACAACATGGGGTATCTTAGATATATATACACATACGTGTATATATATATATATATACACCATGTGTATCTATATATATATGTACATGTATCATATATATATATATGTGTGTAATACATATATATATGATAGATTTATATATATGATAAATATATCTATATATAATAAATATATATATATACATAATACATATATATATATATGACATATATATATATGACACATATATATATATATGACACACACATATATATATATATGATATGATACATACATATATTCTAAAAAAATGTCAACTGTCCTTATTTACCCGACCCTATGTCCCGACACCATGTTATATCATGTGGTCAGTTTATGCAAAATTTGATGCATTTTCCCTGGGATTTATATCTCAAGCTCCTCCAAAATTTAACCATGAGTAAGTGAAGTTGCACAAAAAAGTAGGGGAAAAGTTGAGGGAAATGGGGTGAAATATGGTGAAATGTTCCCCACCGAACCGCATTCCCACTTTCCAAGATTCCCTAAACTCCTCACCTTACCCAGATCTTGGGGAAACGTCCCAGAAATTGGGGTCGGTTAGACTAAGTGCCCCGTTTAGGTGGTGATTTGGCCACTGAGTCTAACCGACCCCTGCCCCGATGACCACCCCCACATTGTCCAGGAAGAGTAGGAGTCGGTTAGACTAAGTGCCCCGTTTAGGTGGTGATTTGGGCACTTAGTCTAACCGACCCCATCTGACCCTTAGAAATTGGGGAAATCTGGGAGAATCACCAAATTTGATGGAAATAGTGGACCCGCCAATGCAACACTTGGATGCATAGAGCCAAAACTTGGGGAAATGTGGAGAGTTGATTGATAGCTCGCATTACTTTGAGCATTCCAAATTATGCATCATGTTGGGAAGCCAACATTATCAAGGTAAACCAGTTAAAACCATCAAAATGCCAAAATGGAAAACATAGGGGTCAGCTCGATAGGGTCAGTTGAAAAAGTCTTAGATATATATATATATATATACCATATATATATACAATATATATATATATGGGGAGATCATGGCTCTTTACCATCAAACATTGGAGATTTCACTAGACAAAATGTATGTAATTGGATATGAATGAGGTATATCGGCAATCAGCTATGTCATATAATCAACTTTAGTGGGACATTGATATATAGTTAACAATGATAGATATTGATGGAAAATCCCAGCCCCCTAATATTAGACACCTCCATTCCATGGTCCCAAATACATAAGTGTAAATTCCCTACATGTCCTTACATTTCCCATGGTCTCTGGGATGTTGTTGTGTGTATAGGGCTACTTGACCATGCCTAAATTGGCTTCGAAAGCACTTCAAAATTGCATAAATTTGCAAGGTCTTAAGAAATACTGCAGAATTGTGGCCATCGGTGATTTGAACTTCCTCAAGTGCCAGTCTGATGAGGTCTGGGTGTCCCAGCTAATCAGCTGTCGAACCACCAAGTTGGGCCTTGCAAATGGATGACACATCCAAAACACAATACTCCACAAAATGACCCATAGATGGATTCAAACATATTCAAACTATGTTGAGGTGGACTTCACTTCAGTACTCCAACTAGCATTTTCTTCGCAAAATGCTTGGTCTTTGATTTGCACCAGCCTTGGATCCTTGCAAAACGAAGCAAGAAAACTACCCTCTGGTAATCAAACATGGTTTGCTGGAAAATCCCCCATTTATAAGGACTATGTTCCCATTTATATAAATGCCTACAATCTATGAGCTATGTCCCACTGCCATGTTTGATTACCGGAGGGTAGCTCATCATCCATCTCTGGCTCTGCAAATCCATTCGGCTTCAGAAGGACTTCAGTGGGTCCTTCCGGCATCTGTTCAGTTGAGACCCGTCTCTCGAGACCCCCTGGATTTCTGTTGCAACCTTCAGAATGTTGGAAGTCTGGAAGTCAGAATTGTCGCTGCAAAAAAAATCTTGGACCATCTTGGACCACTTGGCGTCTCAAAATACTTAGTGTTTTCCATAAAATCCATGGGAAAATCCATGGATTATCATGGGATGATCATCATTCCCCTATTAAAAAATAGCCATTTGGGGGTCCCCATAACTTCCCACGTTGCTGCCGCCAAGGTGCGTGACTTGCCGAGTGCTAAATCGGTCTCCAGTGACCTGAGCCGCCCCGTTTTTGATGCCATCTTTGTCGATGACTTCAGCAGAAATCACCACATCTCAATGGATTGGTTTAAGGGAAAATTTACAGGAAAACCCCATATTTAATGGGAAAATCTATGGTTTCCTGTAGATTTTCCCTTAAACCAATCCATTGAACATCATCTTTCACACTTCATAGACTTATGATTATGATAGATGATGATATCTATATTTGGATAACAATGATATTTCTCATCTAGTAGATTGTACTGTAAAACACTTCACATTAATACATGTTATGTATCTTACGATGAAAGTGAAGTGGTGATGATATTGATGATATCTAAAAATCTATATAAAATCATGAGAAAAACTCGCCAACACGAACATCTAAAACAAGATCTTTTCGCCACTTCCAATCCACCATGGCTTTCCATGGCTTTCCGTGGCCGTGGCAGCTGACAGGCTGAGGTGCTGGAGATTTGGGTAATCCATGACAGCTGGGTCGCGCCATGTACTTCTCCAAAGCTCTTCGTTCGTAGGTCCAGCCATCGGCTGCCAACACCGGATCCCTGCGAAAAAAAAAACCAACGAGATGGCGGGGCACCAAGGGGGTTGAGGGATGGTGAGGTCCTTGTACCATGGCGCTGAACAAAATCTATCAAAATGGATTTTGATGATTAGTTCTTCAATGTTGTTTAAGTGATTTGTATTGATTTTCGATGGTTTTGAAGCCGACCTTTGCTGCAAAAGCTTTCAGTCATGGTGTTTTCACCTGGGGCCTGCTGGAAGAAGCATCGCAGGATGTTTCGGAATTCCCAGACGCTACTTGGGGGGTGCAGTTGAGGCTTTAAATGGGTACAGTATAACTTCGGAATTCTAACCTCCATATGTTGGGATATAATCCCGCTTATAACTATGGCTCGCTATAACCCACAAAAATTAGTCGAACTGCACCCCCAACTACGTTCCCATCAGTCTCCCCAATTTCTGGCGTTTTCAACCACGCTTTCCGGTGAGAAGAAAAAGGCCACATCCCATCCACTATCATCCACTATCATCCACTCCACTCTGCCTCATGACGGCCCGGTTGATGGGACAAACCAAAGAAGGTAGCAAGCCCCACACCATCAACCTCTTGGCACTGGAGGTCCGCTCCCCACAGGGGCTGCCTGAGGCTCAAAGTCTGGCCAGATGCAGTTGGAAACCAATCAATTGGCAGTTGCGACTAGCGGGCAAAAACATGGGTAGACTTGTAAACATACCAAGCGATTTACCATCATAAATGGAATAGGCATTATGGACATTCTGTCTACTTACTAGTAGCAGTCCAAAGTGACAAGTTTGCGGTCGTAAGTGACACTATACATGTCATTTTGAATGGCGTGGTACCGAAATTGGTCTTCTTTATCTTTCCCATTTTTGAAGAATTTGACTTTTGAGCCACGTGGGTTTGCTTAGAAACGGTAGATGTCGCCAAATTGTGAGCCTTGAAAGGAAGAATGATGAACCATTGGAAATTCAGTCTTGATTGTACAATGTGTTTGGACAAACCTACATGGAACAAGTACTGAGGTTACAGTTCTGTGCAGAAATTGGATGGTTCAAATGGTAGTTTAGTAATTTCACGGTATCTACAGTACCCAACGGGATCGACATTTGCAGATGGCCTGGTTCGTTGGACCAGCGACTGGCTGTCAGTTCGGCTTGCAGTCTACGACAGCAGGCGCGCAGTTGGGACAAATCCTGGCAAGTGGTGGGGGGAGGTGGAATAGATCCATGCACCATGATATTCAGCGTAACGATCCAGCAATCATGAGTAGTCAAAATTCGATTATATATGACTAATCATGATTTTAATTTATCATTAACTGACCATGATTAACAATGATTTAAAATCAATGTGATCATTTAAAACATGGAAAAATATCGCAAGCCCAACAAACCCAATATATCAAAACCCTCGCCTCACGCGCTTGTTCCAAGAGCTTCTTCAACTCTCGTGCCTCGGCAGTCCCCGTCAGTCCATGGTGGTTTTTCGCCAAGGCCATAGATCATCGAAATTTACCATGGGTTTATGGGTTTATGGGCATGGGTTTAGTATGACTAGTATGGATATTTTAATGGGATTTTAATAGGTTATGGCGGTTATGGGTTATGGATATTTTGATAGCTTATGGCTTTAGTATAAAACCATTCCCTTAAATGGTTTAAAAAAAAAAAAAAACTTGAATTCCGGATTCATATCATTCCTCGAATTCCAATCTTTGGGAGTCACATCACTATTCTTGGCGACTCGCCAAGGAACTTGTGTAAGACCAACAAACACCATGGGCCATGAACTAATCCGATGGAGGTACTGACTGTGAGGATTGGTTCAAAAAATCCACCTTCGACCGACCTTCGACCCCGAGGAAAACTGCCAGTTTGCTTCACCCTAAAAAAGGCGACCCGTTCGCATCTGTTCACTTCATCATGAAACGCTGGAAAGTATCAACTCATATCAACTCTCTTCTTTTCTCAGATCAGACCTGTTTACAACTTGGGGTCACATAGAGATATGCCAACTTTGGCAGATTTCCTTGGCTCAAAACTATGGCCCCATCCTTCAGGCCCAGATTTCAATAGCCCCAGAAAGCCTGGTTTAGTAGGATGCATTTCATGGAACTGGGTGCCCATATTTGGGAATATCATGGAACCATCCTGGTAACCAACCATTCAAGAATAACTCAAAACATAATCCCATTATATCCTGACCACTTACATAAATAAACCCGGGCATCTGATTGGGGGGTTCAACCACCCTGAAAACGCCGTAACCAGTAGCCGCTATCCGATAGCATCTCACCTGGCTGAACCCAGGCACGTTTTCTGCCACATTTTGACGAGCCATGTTCTGCACCAAAGAGGCTCGAGCACCGAAACGCAAGGCGCTGAGCGATTCCCCAGCGTTCTCCGTGTGCATGGAGGCAGTGATCATCACCTGCTCCGAAATGAGGATCTACCATCTTAAGTTATGACTAAGAGTTTGCCATGGAAAATCACCATGCTATTAATAGGTAAACCATCTATTTCTATGGGCCATCAAAAAACCATGGCTATGTTAGTCACCAGATGCTATGGTTACCATGATCTTGGATTGCCCATGTTCAAACAGATTCTACGGACGAAATGGGAAGGTCGCTTTGTCAACTGCTGAACAACATGATGGTGTCGCTGTCAACTGTAAGGAATGTTTTTTCTAGACAATCACGAAAATACAATCAATTCAATCACGCAGTAAGAATTAACAACAACGTACAACAACATCACATAACAACTAACTTAAGATATGTGATATATCAAAAAGCCGGCAAACAAAGTTCAACATCCCAACCACCTCAAGGATTTCAACGACAATTTCACGCATTCCAAGACGCCACAGTTCGAGCATTTCCACCCAGACAGTTGCGCAGCAGTTGCGTAAGCTTTGAGTCTCGATACCTTTCGCGATATCACGAGGTGACGGACAGGGATTGAACATTATGGGGATCCAAGAAAATCTGGGGATGGATCCTCCGCAAGGACGTACAGGACGTAAGATCCTCCGTGGACATTATTCTTTTCAATACCTTCCCAAGTCGGAAAGTCATTGGGTAAATGCGGTATCTTTCCAGGGGTGTTTTCCAGGACTTTTTTGGTATCTTGAACCTGGCTCTGTGAAAAAGGTCAGGAGACAACAAATCCCACGGTGTTTTGGGAGATTGTTTTTTTGACAAGTACCCTCTGGTTATTTAACATAGCCATGGAAAACGGCCCATTTATAGATGGTTTACCTATTAAAAATGGTGATTTTCCATGGCTATGTTAAATAACCAGAGGGTAAATCAATTCATTGCACCAGTTTCCACGGAAAACATGGAGCGTTTGGAGCCACTTATGAACGCAAGTTGAAACGAAAAAAAACCTCATGGTTTTCCAGGATTCTGCTGAGCCGATTCTGCTGAGCTGCGGAATGTGCTTTTGCTTGTGGGCAAGGGCCCAAATCACTTGACCCAGGGCCAGTAGACTCTTGTTGATGTTCTTGGCCTGAACGTGATGATAAGCCATGGGATAAACGATGGATTTGACGTAGCATGGGACCATGCGACCATGGCAGAGGATGGAGAGTTCTGGCATAATGATATCTCAATGATATCATAACTGAGGGCCTTGCCAGTGCTGATTGGATGAATCATGAATGCACATGATTGCCAATGAGCTTGCAAGTCACTAAAGCCACCATCAAACATGTTCATAAATAACAATACATATCAATATACCGATATACCGTAATATACCTGTATAAATATCTAAGCAATGATGTTGGGATGTTTATTGATTGTCTAGGTGTTAATCAATTGTAATGTACCCTCTGGTTATTTAACGTAGCCATGGAAAATCACCATGCTATTAATAGGTAAACCCAGGTAAAGCATCTATACATGGACCATCTATACCATGGCTATGTTAGTCATAACCAGAGGGTATATCCCAAAATTCACCAAAAGATTCAACTTTTTTTGGGGGCTATCACCTTCCGTGTGACCCAATGGCGCTACCAGCCACGGCTCTATTCATCATATATTACTCTCGTATCTAACGCTATGATTTGATGACCATTTAAGGACTTTGACAAAAACATTCCACCGAAGATGGGCCACAGAATCCCTAACCCGATTAAAACCTCTAGCCACAGTCTCAAGATCTCCCCAAATCTCCCCAAAATTCCGAACTAGAGAATACAAAACAGAATTTCAGTCCCATTTCCGTCCCACCATCACCATCTTTCACCAGTGATCCCAGTTTTTTCCCCATGGCCCGGTGACCTCTTCGAGCTGCAGACCTTGGACGCCGGTCTTCATCACGCGTTCGCTGCCCGCCAAATCCACCAGATACAGCTGAGCGAAGCGCTGCTTCCCAGGATCCACCTGGAAAAACATTGGGAACACCTGGATGTCGTTGGGGGAAAATGTGGAGGAAATGTTGAGTGAATTTATGCTGTATTTATAAAATATGATTTGAAGAGTGACATTCTAAAAGTGGGAGATGTAGACAATGTAGACGATTGAACTCTGGCAATACCAGTTCTATAGCCCAAAGACTTTGAACTTTGGATGGCGCTGAAGGATCAGTATCAGTAACAGTTTATCTGGATCAGTATGATCACTGGGCATCACCAGTTCATATCGCCTTGTGGCCACTCGTTGCATCCCGGGGGAACAGATCGGTCCGCTAAAATGGTGCCATCTGCTTCACCAAGTCTTCCTCTGAACGAATGTTGTCATTTTTGTTGGGCGAACACGATGAGAAGCTGCCAATAATTGACCATCAATCCACAGAAATATCCACAGAGTGGATAGGCGGTCCAAATATCACCGGGTGGCGCGGTTCGTGACCGTCACAATGAACACCGCATGGCTTCTGGAGGAATGCCGATTCATCTTGGTTTCGGCCTGTGCTCAGCTCAGGCTTGCTGTCTGGGCAGGTGAAAAAATTGAGATTTAATCAACAACAATGGAGATTCACCAAAAAAACATAGAGATTTATATAATCCACAAAAAGTGGAGATCTAACCAGACCAAATGGAGATTTAAATTAACCAAAAAAAATGGACATTTAACCAGCCCAAATGGGGATTATACCAACAAAAAATGGTGATATAATATGATATAATGTGGCCACAAGTCGGATATAACCAATATGTGGTCTCGCCCCATCCCAAAACATAAGGCAATTCATCCCATTTCTACCGTCCAAATTGGTCAAGTTTCAAGATTTTTCAAGACACTTGCCATGTGGGCCCAGTTACGGTTGCAAGCCGCAGGGTTTATCTGGTTGGTGGTTTCAACCCCCCTGAAAAATATGAAA